ACATGCGCACGCATGCGCACACTTGTGCACGTATGCGCGCACACACACATGCACGCCATGCACGCACATGCACACACACACACATGCACGCACACACAGGCACGCGCATGCACGCACATGCACGCGCACGCACATGAACGCACATGCACGCACTTCATTCTTTGTTTGACTCCTATGCGTTTTGTTTTTCTCCAGGAATACAGACAAGGTGGGGTTGTTTGACCCTTGGCAAGATATCATCGGTTGCGGTGGCAAGAAGCACAAACAAGATGAGGCACATATGAACACAATTAATGAGGTTCTGGTAGAACCCTCCAACATCGTCCAACAAAGCAGCTTGATCCGTTCCGTCGTGCTGCAGGTGGAGGGACAGCGATCTGGCGGTGAGTGCAAGCTCTGCATCGAGATGCCGACACTCCGCAAACATGCCGAGTACTACTAACGATAACTTTCAAGAAAGCAGGAAGCGGAGAGCCACGCCAAAACCAAATAGGACCTCCGAATCATCAAAACAAAAATTAAATTTCTCATGCGTTTATTCATATAAACATACTTCTTTATATATGTGTATATATATATATACATATGCGTATATATGTATATGTATATGTATATGTAAATGTATATGTATATGTAAATGTATATGTATATGTATATGTATATGTACATGTATACGTAGAGATATACATATAGATAAAGTCGGCCAGAAGAGATCAGAGCGGTGGCACGTGTGTACACGTTAAAGCATGCATGGGCTTCCCAGTCAAGGACAGAGACATCTGTGAGAATGTGGAACCCGGAGGAAACGGAGGAAGACATGTTGCTTGCATGAACTTGGGGCAAGACATGGCGAGATTCTGCTGTGCGAGGGCGATCAGAGTGTTAAGGTAAATACCTTATCAGCCGTCAGAATCCAAGCTTACGTGTATGCTGATACCCTCTTCGAGGCGAGCCTTCGAGTTCGATAGCGGCTTGGCTGCACCTCTCCAGTATCGTGGTTGTCTGTAGGTGTTGACGATGTTGCTCCGTCTTGCTTCTCACGCTTCCAGCATGGGGCTTTCTTGTTGCGCAGAGGTGCGCAGGGCGAAATACTAAGACATTGGTTCCGTTACTTCAGAGAACCTGTTGAAGCTGCGTTGAAACTCCGGATCTAGTCACCCATTAGCGTTCAGGAAAGGCCTGACGTTTCGTGAGTCACAAGTCTGAAGCAAGGTCCTCTTAACATGCCGCGTGCCAGGATGTTACTGGTCGCACAGCTCGGATAATCCTCTTTATGCGACACAGGAGACCCTGCAGAAGGACTGCGGGGCTAGTGTGTGCTGACACTCTTGTTGAAAAAAGCTACTCATTGACTCAGTGGGCGAGCGCTCCTCACAGGAGTTGGGAGAGACCATGTGGCTTGTCTGATAGTGCCCTGAGTCCATGAGCTTAATTCTCGTTGCCCATCTTCTGGTTTCACCTTCCAGTTGCTTTGTAGGAAAGTAGACACTGCAGACACTGTGCTTCTCATCCCAGCCGTCTGGTCGAAAGTATATTTGTTCCAGGGCTTAGGTTTAGTCGTGGACTCTGCCCTCGCTCACGATTGCATGCGCAGTTGTGAGAGCATGGGAACCACCAGCACGGACATTCCTGGCTGATGATTTTACTACATTTCGCTGTTGCTGTTTCTGGCATTGTTTGCTTTTGATCCGGGACTGCCAAGGGCAGAGGGCGACATGCAATCTTAGGTGAAGTTGACAGTGAAAGAAGTATTCTCCGCACTGACCAATAGTACGGATCACCATGCATACGGAAGAACCGGTGTCATCTCGCTTTGTGGCTTTGCTGCTTTTGTCCAGACGGAAGTGGATTCAGGCTGGAGCACGCCATGAACGGCTTCAACAACTGCATTTTCGCTTATGGTCAGACTGGCAGCTACGGCCCTACTGCCTGAATGCAATATTATACCATATTTCATTATTTTGTACTATGGTATCTTGTATTATAGTATAGTATATTACATGTGTGTGTAGCTATATATATATATATATATCAACGTAGCTGGGGACCAGGCGGCAAGTCCTACAGCGTGCTTGGCGGCAAGGGGGAAGAGCGGGGCCTGCTGCCCCGCGTAGTTGAGGGGCCTCTCGGTTGCGTTGAGGAAGTGCTAGGACTTCTGATACCTTGATTTGGATGAGTCCTTCACAGGTTGTTCGACCACTTCGAGAAGCTTCCTGAGGACAGAAGGGTAGCCTTGCCAGTTGCGCATCAGCAGAGATGCAAGTTGTGTAAATGCAAGTCGGCGTTGTGCGCTTGTTCTTTGTCTTTGGCAAGGGCGCCACATACAAAACTTTGGCACCTCGGCTTGCACGTGGTTTATATCTCAAAGCCGGGTTTGCGTTGCCTTGATCCTCAACCCAGATGGATGCTTTTTGAGGTTGCGTTCATGGAAATCTACAATGAACAGATTCGAGACCTGCTGGCCTTTCGACCGAATGGAATGCATCTGCTGATAGCTCGTTCGTAAGGACTCATTTGGCATAGAATATCATAAGGAATAATGTAGAATAATATATAATGCAATATAACATAATGTAATACAAAATAATGTGATCTAACACAATGGAATGTAATCTAATATAAAAGAATAATGTAATATAATATAATCTCATCTAGTATAGTCTTGTATAATCAAATATAGTATAGTATAATCTAACATAGTAGAATATGACATAGTATTATATCATGTAAAATGATATAACATAATGTCCTGCTTGTTTGCCTACACGACCGAAGCGTGGTCACGAAGGCGCCAGCCACAGACAGCGAAACCAAGAAGCTGGAAGTGAAGCAGCACCCGGTTCTTGGAACCATTGTGCCAGGCTGTTCGCCTGCGGCCTTGTGTGACCCTAAACCCCAAACCCTAAACCCCAAACCCTAAACCCTAAAACCCAAACCCTACACCCTGAACCCTAAACCCTTTGTTTGTTTTGTTGGCCGCTGGTCCAGGCTTGACGGAGGCGGCGGTGGCATCCTGCGAGGAGGTGCTCAACCTGGTGGACTACGGCACGCAGATGAGGCAGATTCTAAAGAAATTTGTATAATGCTATATATATATGTTAAATGTACATCTATAATCGACTCTAAAAAATATTCTTAAAATCTACGAAAAATATAGCAAAATGATATACAGTACAAAAATATAATATAATAAAGTATTATATAGTATCCTGCAATATAGTATAATACAATGGAGTATGCCACTACTGTACCTTCTTCGAATGCTTGGGGGCCTTGACATGCCTTGGCCAAGTCACAGGCATGTTTCCGCAACGGCCATGCGTCTTGTATGCAGAAGTATGTCGCCTTGCACGAAGCTCACGAAGCTCTGTGTTTTCAACTGATGCCAAGGAACGCGACAAGCAGTAGAAGCCTGCTGCCTACTCACACCCGTCCATTGCTGAGGCCTGTGACAGTGAAGAGTTCTAGGTTTCAGCCTGAGGCCACTGCATCTTCACTTTCAAGACGTCGCTGACGGAGCCAGATCAGCCGTCCAAGGTTTCACAGCGTCTTGGCCAATGGATTCGACGGATCCTCCTCCTCCTCCTCCTCCTCGTCCTACACCTCCGCACCTTCTTCCCCGAGAGCTCTCCACCTGAGGACCCACTTGGTGGATTTGGCGGGCTCAGAGAGAGCCGGCCGAACGAAGGCCACGGGCGACAGGTGCGGGTGGCGGGAGAACGCACTATCCAGGGGGGATCATTTCTTTCAGCATCCCCAGTTCTGTGCACGTCAGGCTGAAAGAAGGAGCTGCCATCAATCAGAGCTTGTCAACTCTTGCAAGGAGCGCCGGTGTCGCCTTGAGGGGATGCCATGTGTCGCCATCAAAATGGGTGGCAAGTGCAGTTGGCTAGGGTCATCTCCGAGCTCGCCAAGTCCTCCAAAACAAAGAAGAAGGCCAACCCTCCCTTTAGGGAGTCGAAGCTGACCTACATTCTCAAGGAGCAGAACCTCATCGCCCTCATTCGCCCTCTTTGTGTCATTGCTTTGTGACTAACGGTGAAACTTTCAATGCTCAGTACAGGAGTCCCTCTGCGGGAATTCCAAGACGGTCATGATGGCGGCCATCTCTCCAAACTTTCTGGACTTTGTGCCTCGGCCACAGGGGCGTGTCACAGCGTGTGCCATAAGATCTATTGTGGCTGAGGACGAGACGTTGTCGACTTTGAAGTTTGCGCAATCGGTGAAGCAGGTGCAAACGAAGGCACGTCGGTGAATACAAAGACGAAAATCGCACCTTTAACGCTTCTCCTGTCTGCAAGTTTATTCTTTGGTGCCCGCAGCCAGGCCGTGCAAAATGCGCCTTGAAAGCAGTACAGGCCGTCTTGGTCATCTCCATGCGACCAAAAGCTCGCACGGGATGGGCATAAGTGCTAAGCATGATAGTCGACCTTTCTTTCCCGGCCTTACCTCTTGACCGTGGGCACTTCTCGGACAGATATCCAGACTACGGCCTGTGCCCTGTGACGAAACCCCAGAAACTTCCACGTCGCAGCAGAAGCCTGTAGCATTGGCATGAGACTGAAATCCTTCATGTGCTCAACTGAGGCGGTGAACATGTCCAGCGTGGAGGCGCAACTTCGGGCCGAGCTGAATGCTCTGACGCTGGGACGAGGGTGTGCTTAGAGTTAGGGAACCGCTGCAGATCTCCCAGCAGCCAATGCTGTGATCTGCCGCATGCGGATGCAACCAAGTGAGGAAGTCACAGCTGAAGATGTACGAGGAGAGCGGTTCCAGCAATCTTCAACCCCATCAGTCAACCGGAGCGAATGGGAGTATTGCAAGTCACAGAAGCAGAGACGAAGTGGACCGAAGTAGATGTGGCCAGGACGGATCACCCAATTCATCTGCAAATGTCTCCTCAGAAGAGCTGGTCTTCTTGAAGAGGCTTGAGTTCAAGATAGCGTGGTCACGAGGGCGGCGGGAATGTTGCTAACACGACGCCCCAGTCCCGAACGCAGTTCAGCAGTCCCGAGCCCTGATGAGAAGACTGAGTAGCTGCCGCTGTAGCTTGTGGAGGCGCATGGAGGAGCAGGAGCAGCTTTGCGCCTACTATGGCAAGGCACCGGCCTCAGACATAAACTTTCGTAAACTTTGGGATTCCCGTGGCTTCCAGTCGCAAAGCCTCGTAAGAGAAAGGACTGGGACAGCCTCCTCGCAGAAGAGCGGCAGCGAGCCCCAGTCTCAAGCTGGACACAAGTGGGACGTTCCACATATCTATATTCTGTAAAAACACATACGTGTATATTTATGTATATATTTATGTATATATTTATGTATATATTTATGTATATATTTATGTATATATTTATGTATATATTTATGTATATATTTATGTATATATTTATGTATATATTTATGTATATATTTATGTATATATTTATGTATATTTGTGGTCAGGCGTCTGGCGTCTCCGACGTCCCCGCCCCCCCCCCGCCCGCCCCCCCCCCGCCCGCCCCCCCCCCCCCGCCCGCCCCCCCCCCCGCCCGCCCCCCCCCCGCCCGCCCCCCCCCCCCCCGCCCCCCCCCCCCTCCCCCCCCTTCCGCATGGTATGGTCGGTAGAAGGGAGAAAAGGGTCTGAGGCTCCTGAGACCCTTGGGCCGGGTTTAGGGTTTAGGGCTTAGGGCTTAGGGACCCAAAGCCCTCAAGCCCTGAGCCCCAAACCCTGCGTAAAAACCCTAAACCTTAACACCCTACAAGCTTTAAAACCTCAAGCCCTGAAACCCAAAAACGCCAAAGCCCTAAACCAGAAACCCGAAACCCTAACCCCGAAAACCGCCCCGCCTAGACCCGACTCGTGCTAGTTGCGTTTGCGGTGCGTGGGACTGCCTTGGTTGCGTTTGGGGTGCGTGGGAACTTTTGGGTGAATCGCTTCGTGTTTTCGGCGTTTTTGTCGAGAACGCCAAGAGCTTCCAGAACTTTCAGAACTTTCAGAAGTTTCAGAACTTTTACAACTTTAGAAATTTTGGAACTTTTGGAACCATTGGAACTTTTGGAACTTCTAGAACTTTTAGAACTTTTAGAACCTCCAGAACTTTTTCAAATTCAAGAGGTTTTCGAGAGCTTTTGGTACATTTGGTAGCTTTTGCTTGTGTGCGCATATGCGTGGGGGTGTCCCTTCCTAGGCCTTTCTTCCCCACCGCCCTCCCCTAAGACCCTCAAATAAAATCCTGAAAGCTGTACGGGTCTCCGGGGCTAAGGGGTTGCCGGGAGGCGGGCCCCCGCGCATTGGAGTCGGGCGTCTTTGGCTATTGGCGCGGGAGAGGGAGAGGGAGAGGGAGAACGAGAGAGAGAGAGTGTCAGGATGCAGGGGAAGGCGAAGGTGCCAATGCGGCTCTAAGTTTGCGTGAGAGAAAGAGAGAAAGAGAGAAAGACAGAGAGAGAGAGAGAGAGAGAAAGAGAGAGAAAGAGAGAAAGAGAGAAAGAGGGAAAGAGAGAAAGAGAGAAAGAGAGAAAGAGAGAAAGACAGAAAGAGAGAAAGAGAGAGAAAGAGAGAGAAAGAGAGAGAAAGAGAGAGAAAGAGAGAGAAGGAGAGAGAAAGAGAGAGAAAGAGAGCAAAAGAGAGAGAACGAGAGAGAAAGAGAGAGAAAGAGTAAGAAAGAGAGAGAGAGAGAGAGCCAGATGGAGGGAGAGAGACAGAGTGTCAGGTCGCAAAAGGAAAGGCGAAGGTTGCTGCAAAACCAGCTTTTTTGTTTTTTTAACATTCCAAATCTTTTGAGGTCCACTTACTTTTGGTAAGGTTTCAAAATATTTTGAAGAAGATGCTTTTGGCCCTACATGACCAGGTTCGCACCTAAGCAGGGAGCAAGGAGAAATGCATCGGTCAATGGGGGGGGGTGTACCGTATATATGAAAACTGCATATATATATATATGTATGAACCGTAGATCGTAAGAATATACAGGTATATAGCGTTTGGGTGCAGGGACAAGGCCTTTGAAATACACGGCTGAGACCCAACTGCTTCCCAGCTCCTTGTTTTTGGAGTTTTTCGTGGTCGCCATAAGGAATGGACACGCGGAGCCGCGCGACTGCAGTGCGAAGAATTGACAATTGCGTGTTGCCCCGCAAAGTATTGCAGCAGTATTTGTTTTTCGACTTTTTGCGGAGGCTGATAAGGCCCTTAAGCACTGCTACTGCTACAATGTCAACGAAACTTGCGCCGAGCCAAGGGACGTCTCTGCATCCCTCCAAGCTGGGACCTCTCTCCAAGAAGTCGCTCTCAGACAAGCGGCAGGACAGTTGGGTTCTTCGATTTTTGCTGACCATGTGGCTTCCGCAAAAGGTGCACAATAGTAGCCATGCCGAGCTCGAACGCTCGCGTCCATTCCTCCCAACGCTGCAATGCAAAAACCGAACTAAACAGCGGGATGCGAAACAGAACTTGAGGCAACAAGTGTTCTCCTCCTTGAGGGGTACAGTCTGGATAGGCGCAAAAGAGAAAGCGGTGCTGTTTGCCCAGCACGTGGCCTTTGGCCTGTCTTCAGGACCGCAGCTCTGACGAAGCTTGTCAGCAGAAGGTGCTGTTCAGATGCTGGAAATCACAGTTGCAGTGATCTCATTGTACTCCCGCGTAAGCCGTGCTAGACGGGTGATTTAAACAACAGTGCGCAAGTGCAGAGCAGCATTTCCTCCAACTTTCATCACTTTCGTTCTTGGCTGCAGTCGCACGTTTACGAAGGGCCACCATATTCGCTACATGGGCTGCTGTGTCTGTTTCGGCTACCAGAGAAGTGAATTGCTTTGATGCCGGGGAGCGCCACAGGGGGGGTTGGTTTTAGTATGTTGTTGAGATGAACCGAGGAGGACGATGACATGGACGACGAGGATGAGGAGTCCTTCACGTGTTCCCTGCGGCTGGGCCTGATAAGACCCAGTCGAAGCTTTCACCACAGCCGACTCACATCCTTTCTGAAGGCTGGAGTTGGGGAGGCCGATTGACGAGGTGCCACCAGAAGGGATCCTTGGATCACCACGACTTCCGAGAAAATGATTGCGAGGGGGAGAGGAGGCGAGATGATCGCGAACTGCCACAACTAATTTCATCCCCCCAGACGTGGATTGCTACATGCTGCGCGTTCGAATGGGGGTTCATTGGTTTCAATATGACTGCTCTTCTGCTAAAGAGCCCCCAACGAAATGATTTCAGCGGGGGAAGGGCAAGCATTCTGAGTGGGACATGATGTTGGATCAGCGCATGGGCAACGCCGATTGTTCCGGTTACAGGGGTTTTAAGACTGCAAGCGCAGCCCAAGGAGATCTTCTTTGAGGGCACCGATTCGCAGCTCTTCTCGCTTCAGATTGATGCAAACGATTTAGCTCTACAATTTCGGGTGCCTATGATATGGAGCCTTCAGACATGGGGTGTGGAACGTCTAGAGACGGCGTCATTGAGGGTGGGGCTGGAGAAGCCGTCCCAGAGAAGCTGCGGAAGCTCAACCAATCACACTTCTGCAGCAGAGAAGAGAAATGAAGAGAAGGATGCCTTTCATGTTATACTGTCATACTTCCACGCGTCAAAGCTCAGGGAGCTCCTTGGCAGTGGTTGGGCCGATGGCGCGCAGCCTCATGGCCCAGGGAGGTGCGCGGCCACGCGCGGAGGGCGTCAGCAGGCGGAACGCGAGATTTTGTACTCTGATTCTGTGAGTCGGCCATACTCAGCCCACCGGTAAAGCAGAGATCAGAGGCGGCTGCTTGAGCTCTCGCGCCTTGCCACGGAGACTGAAGAGCTCCTCAACAGCGGGTCAACCGGAGGCCTCCTTTCTCAAGACAAAGCATCACCTAAGTGTCACCGGAATGGGCTTGGTAATTAGTGTGGCTCTGTTAACTTATTGCGGGCTTGGCTGCGAAGCGTCTCAGGAAAAATGTCTCTCCACGTTCTTGTCGTGGTCGACCCGCTTGACGAGGCAACGCTCGAGGCTCGGTGAGTGCCAAGTTTCACGTGCCCTAGAGCAGACTGGAAAGTTTAAAAGTCACTGTTAAAGAGTGACTGGGAGAAGAACAGCGGTACAAGTCGCGTAGAATTTTTAGAAGCGGGCCGAGCCCTGGAGGCCGGCTTGGTGGTACAAGCAGCCTCCTCGTCGTCGCTCCCGTCATCCTGGGCATGGTGGCTTTGCATTGCATGGCCATGTTAGGAATTTGCCGCCGCTGATCCTTGCCAATCGCTTCAGACTCACTTAAGATGCTGATTCTTCTGCCCGAGGCCGCGACACGAGCCTTCCGAGGCCCTCTCCCAGACTTTGTAGCGGCTCAGCATGCTGCGCTGTGTCTGTGGCTAAGTCAGCGAACACGTCTGCTGTCAGGAGAAGGCTGAGGCGACTGGAGGAAGCAGAGTTGATTGGTGTTCTGGGCATCTCGGACTGGAGACTCGAAAGCCCACTTGCAAGCCCACTACGGACCGTTCCAAATCACACATCTCGCCAAGTGCCGGGCCCGAGGACTGAGCTGCAGAAGCGCCTGAGCTGGCTGAAGTCCAACATGTGCCCTGCATAAGTCGAAGTTGCGATGGACTCTGTGGGGCTTGGCTAGTTGCAGGGCTGCTCCATGGTCGAAGGCATGTCTCTTGCCCTGGTTCGGCTTGGGTTCCCTGGGCGACGGCTGAGGTCAGGGTCCACGAAAAGCGCAGAAGAGATGTGGCTTGCGGCGGCGCGAGCTACTTCTGGCAGCTTGGCTCCCTTCAAAGCCCCGTCTGTAGCCCGCTCGGAATTTCTTTGGTCAAGTCCGAGTGGAGTCACAATGGCATTGAATGTGGATGGGACTTTGTGGCAGGAAGTGCCATAGAAACTCTCCAGCAAGAAAATGCGGAGATGGTCACGTGGCTGAGATGTGCACAACTTTTCTTCTATGAGCAGCCATGAGAAGATGCCCCAGGCGGCCAAAATTGCCGAGTTGGAGTCGAGGCCGGGCTTTCTGCGCATGTTTTTGCGCGCTAATATATCAACGCCAGCGCGCGCGCCGCCTTGGCCTGGCCTGCGGGCGGAGGTGAGGGGACCCGTGGTCCCCTGAGCCGACCCTAGACCAAGAAAACGGGTTGGCTGGTTTCTGGTTTCTGGTTTCCCCGAACGCCTTAGGCCTGGAGCCTCAGAGGATACGGCTGAATGAGGCTGAAAGATGCGGAAGCTTCGCGGCATGGTGAGAAGGCGAGGGCGATGTGGCTACGCTCTTGTGGCGTCTTGTTGAAGTTCTGTGGGCATCGCAATCCGGCACTTGCCTTGCCGTAGGAGGCCGAGCCAAAACTTCGCAGCAACTCAGATGCAAGATGTGATGCAAGCGAGTAGGGATTGGGCCTTGGCATGTGTTGGCTTCTGCTGCGCAGTCCTCTTTTGCTCATGGCAAGAGGTCAGAAGGCGAGGGATGCGGTCAAAGCTATCGCAGCCAGCTTCGAGACTGCAGCATCCTCAGCGAATGTCAGAGTTTTCTAAGGGGAGGGCTTTCAGCTGCTTTCAACATCCGCGATCCATGCACAAACTATTCAAGCAAGCACGGTGAACTTGTACTCTTGGGCTATGCGGCAATTCTCCGGGCTAAGGCCCTTGGAGCGATCGATTCGGCCCAGTTGACCTTACAGAAAGTGAACAGTGCTAGTGCTTGACCGGAAGCTCGAATAGAGCTTCTGGTACTTCGCATGAGCGCTTACACCACCCTTATGAGCCACAGCCTTGACACTTGCAGCGCGCTTGCCGACTGGGGTGTGTTGGCGAGCTTGCTGTGGCTTTTCCCGGGCGCGGTACACTTAGCGATGCGCGAGCACAAAGGTGCTCCGCAAGAACCTGTGCATGACAAGTTTGTCGTGCCAGGCACCTGCTAAGTGAGGGTGCCGCATCGTAGTTAATGGAGCTGGGAAGGCTACGGATACGATGGACCCGCTGTTCTGACTCATTGCATATCTCGACCCTTGCGGATCTAACTGATCTAACAGTACGGACAACGGGTACTGAGATCCACTTCGCCTTCCGATCGTTTTCAGGAAGCCTGTGGCACTTGACTGCGTGTGCGGTGAAAGGCCCGCATTTTGCCTCGGTGCTTCTTTCCATCTCATCCACAAGGTTCAACATCTGCAAGCTGAAGAGACAGGAGAAGGACTAAGGAACTAAGCATCCCTTCGCATCTCTAGACCTTACCTTTTCCACGCGTCTGCTTGACCGCAGAGCCTAGGGCTCCATACGCGGTAAAGCCAGGAACTCATGGTAGCGGCAAGAACATGCTAGAACTAGGACCTCGGAGACAGACTAGCAAAAGCATGACTGCCAGTCTTCAAACACACACACCTCTGAGGCTCTGAGGCATCCCTTGGCATCCCAAACCAAAGCCCGATGACTACATTACATGATAATGTATGAACTGTGTAGCAGCAGTACCAAACACGAAGAACGCTTTTGCAGCAGCTCCTCAGCACCAGATGCATTCCGGTGTGTCGCGTTTCGCTGCGGAGTGAATTCCTTTAGTCCTTTAATGTGTGCGCCTCGGCACATGAAGCGAAGAAGCACACCGCCCAGCCCACTCCCGCCATAAACGTGAAGTTCTCTTCTGCTGAGGCTTGTCAAGCCTGCGCCCAATGGTGAAGCGGGCAATGACCAGTGGGAGCTCGTGGGAGCAACGTCCGACTTTGAGCTGGGAGCCCACTGAGAGCCCTGTAAAAAGCCTTCTTGGAGCCCAAATGTGTTAAGTCGGGTTGGAGTAAGGCTGACATTTAGGACCCTGCTCACAAAGGAACCGAGCGTCGGCTTTCATCTCCCAACAGGATGAGCAGCTCCAGTCGCGATCCTACACGTGCCGTGCCAATGGCTACACACATCAGTGTGCGCACCGATGGACACGAATGCTGGCAGGCCCGCGCTGCAAGAGGCCACGTGGGCAGAGGGAGCAGTGGAGGGCCTGTACTGCAGGATGAGACGGCACTGGAAGCACATGGAAGCCAGGTCTTACAGCTTTCGCGACTTGCGGGCGCCTCCACAGAGGCCTCAGAGCTAGCGGCGCCCCAACAGCAAGTATGAGAAACAGAAGAGCAATATGAACCACACATTGTGAGCCCTGGAGAGACCCTCATGGGTGTCCAAAGCCTTCGCTGAGGCCAAAGTTCGTCAGCTAGCAAGGAGCTGTAGCCGCGCCCTCAACCGGCCTTCGAACACTAGAATGCTTCCACGAGAGCTCTCCAAGGCGCAGCTGCCACCCCACTGTTGGCAGCCGTAGAAGTGCACGGGCTAGTCGGAGGCCCAGGTTTTTACCAGGTTGGCTTCCCGAATGACAGGAAAACAGGTTCACATTCGTTATGCTCCTTGTTTGGAGTTGCAAGGCATGCGGGCCATGCTAGCCTCACTGCTTGACGTTCGCAGATCCCCTCAGGAAGAATGTGTGGTACACCTTCCTGGCCCGGCAATCCGCACACTGTGCCATTGCATTCTGAATTATGCGCTGTCCATGCGTGCTTCTTGCCAGCACAAGTCACTTATACGACAAAGAGCCAGAAGCGCAAGCCCGTTTGTTTGCCATAGGGTTTTTCGCAGGGTGGGGGAAACCGAGGAAATGTTGACGGAAGATAAATGCGACATCCTTCGTCGAGTGGTCGAAATCCGCAGCTGTCAAGCTGTAGTTCGTAGATTCCAGGAGCCTGCCCAGAGCATCACATGCCACATCCTCAGCCCCCGGGCATCCCCTGAGCCACGTGGCAGGATGCGGAGTTCGCCCCGTTGCTTGACGGCCACGAGCAGTGGCGCGCCGAGCTGAACTGCTGGAAAGCCCTCTTGGCGCCCTTCCCATGGACAAATGCTCGTGCAACGGTCATGAGCCACTCAGCTGCACGACATCGAAGACTGTCAAAGAGAAGGAGGGCTGAGTGCGCCGAACAAAATCCCGAAGGTCAGGTGCTGGCTGCTGCAGACCTATCCGAGCCGCTGACCATGCATCCGCAACTGGTGTCTAAGCGTCAAATATTGGTGCATGTTGAATACACAACATCGCGAAAACTGCTGTCATCTCTCGGCAACAACTTGCAGGTGCGCTCTTTCGAGATACTTCGTTGCTTGGGTGCGGACTTGCTGGACAACGACATCAAAGGCAGCTCGACGCCAGAGCTGTGCACGTTTACATGCTGCCACGCTCCATTATGTTTTGGACTCGCCTTCCCAAACCTCTGTTTCCGAAACCCCCCGTAAACCTCCTAAACCTCCTCAACTCCCTGTGCCAGTGCCTGATCCTGGCAGGCTCGGTGGCCAAGCTCCAGCGGCATGGTGAGCAGGTGGCTTGCTGGGCGGGTACAGAGATCACGGAGAAGACGTTGCTGGCCTATCGACAGAGCGCAGCTTGTTCCGGAAAGTGTCAGTTCAAGAATGTGCAAGATTTGCAGCACACCCGATGTTTGCCGGCCTGCGCTAGGGAGTCGTTCGCTCTCAGGTAGCTCGCAAGGAGGCCGACGCCGTGGCTTTGTTCAAGCCAGCAGAGGAAGCGGAGAAAGCCGCAGAGGCACGGAGGGCCAAACTCACTTCAAACTGACCACACCAGGAGAAGGGAGTGCAGTGGGGGACAGCTTCAGCAACGGTTACTTTAGTAGGGTTTAGGGTTTAGGGTTTGGGGTTTAGGGTTTAGGGTATTATCACCAACCGTTGCTTCTGGAGCCGCGAGCGCAGATGTCTAAAGCGAAACCGTTCCGCACATGTAAGCTTCCTGCAGAGTAGCCGCCGCACTACGAAGATGGCCATGTCTGATGCGTCTTTGTTGTAGGGTCTTTGCAGGCAAGGGGGGCACTTGACGCGGCAGCCAAGCAGCTGCCCAGTTGCAGCTGTCGGAAGCATGCTTCAATTGCAACATATGAAACACATCTGCCCCCCCCAAAAAAAAAAGAAAAAAAGAACATAGAAACAGATACATCAAACAAGTGCCCCAAAAGAAAGCTCCGAGGCTTGGCTTTGTCCCATCTGCGCTCAAAGGCCGGGTTCCAGCCTTGGCGACGCTTGGACCGCAACTGAGCCAACAGTGATAGCTTTGAGATACCCCCCCCGTGCGCTAGTGGGCACTCGCATGCTTCGAGAAAGAATTGCCTGTCCAGGCTTGTTCGCTTGGCCGCGTCTGGGCCTGATGGCGTGCTCGACAGCAGAGTGCTGCTTATACAGCTTTACGTGCTGCTCTAGTCTGCGCTACGGCGTGAAGCCGTGATTTCTGGCTCAGGCGTGTGCTTCGCCAGGTGGACGAGTCGTCCCTGCCACCGGACTCCTGGCCAAACCTATAGTTTGGTGGCAGTACTGTGGGTCCTTAAAACGCACCTAGCGTTGCCCTAAATCCCCAAACCCCAAAACACCTAAAGCCGGAACCTACTTCAACCCCATGTTTAAGCAAGGCTCCATTCTGCTTCCCCTAATTTCTCTTGCGATTGTCAGGTGGGCCAGGCGTTGGCTCGACGTCTCAACGAGGGAGACAAACCAGACCTGGCACCTCAGACAAAGGAAGAGACATGGGAAGCCCTGAGGTTAAGACGCGTAGGAGGTTCACAAACACGTTGTTTCGGGTATGGGCTTCCATGGGTTCTTCGGTTGCATTTAGGGCTTGCGAGAAATAGGAACGTGCCTATTTCACCACCACTGTGCCAGCGACTTCCATTCTTGAATTGCGGTTGCGAAAATGCTTAAAGCTGAGGCTCTCCGTCAGTCGATTCTGCAATTCTTGCTTCGCGTGGCCCAGGAGTTGCAGATTTTCAAACCTTGCTTCTTGCATCCGTGTGTAGGCAAGTCAGACCTGCCACCAGAGAGCCCGTACTTTTCTTTTTTGGAGTTTCTTGCTGCTACAGGTTTTGAACATAGCTGCGCAGCACATGGGTGGGGACAGGTCGCTCCGCACCCGCAGAAAAAGCCAAAAACGCCCCTCGCACCTTGAGATAGCCGAAGTGAACCCTCAAACCCCAGACCCTATCCTCAAAACATTAAACTCCCAAGCCACAAACCCACAAACCCTAAAGGACAACTGAGAAACCACATGCCCCTGCACCTGCACCTGCCTCGCACTGGCAGACACACCCCACCACGCGCTGCCTACAACATTGCAAATGCAAGCTTACCATAGCCGACACCTTACATGCCCCAAACCCTTAGCCTCGAACCCCATGCCCTCAATCCATCTCAATCCCAGCCTCCAAGCCCTTTGCCTCGAAGCGCAAGCTTAATCCCGCCTCCGGCTCCACCATGCCCGCAGGAGTTTCTAAGCCGTGCAACCTCCAAGCCCAAAGCCCTCCACTTGAACTTCGAGCTTCTGGCCAGAGCCTTACAATGTGAGCCGCTTGTTCTCAGGATGGAGGTCAGAACCTCAGCATGAGTCACATTCAGACACTGCAATACGCTGCACTTGAACCAAGACATCTTGGATTCGCCAGGCCGGTGGCTCGCCAAGCATGCAACTTCTTCGAGACCTGGAGAGACTCACCTGAATGGCCGAGCAGTGTGTGACATGAGTGTTGACGATGTGTTGCAAGCGGGAAGAGTCAGGACGCACCCGTCTGCCCAGCTGGTCCTCAACAACATGGCACTATCCGAGCTGCTGCAGGCTGGGCCCGCCTGCCCTTATTGCAATTGCAGCACCGAGCATGCACCCTCTTCGGCAGGTAATGTCTCTTATCCGTGAAGCTCATCGGATGGTGCACGGGGAATCTTGGCTTGCAGATTCTATTTGGAGCAGATGTTCAGCGCCTTGGCCTTCATGCTTTTGAACTGCAGGACAAGGAGCTCCCGCATGCTGCCCTGCGCCGCTGGACGTCGCGCACCACTGCGGCTGTGCCGCCACGGGAGCTCGCCTCGTCCCTCGGACCTTCTTGGTGTCTTTAGATATGTCCTTAGGGCCTGAAAGCTATGGGACCAGGACTCACACCTAGGCTAGGTATGTGCGCAGTCGAGGCTGCAGTCGTTTTCCTGTTTGTTTTTGGTTTTTCTGCCGTGAAGTTCCCGAGGCTGAGTGCAGATCTGGAGGACTTTCTCAAACAGATGCCCGTCTCGAGATGTTACATGTGAGTGTCACTGCAATACCTTGCAAAGCTGAAGAAGGGTCATGAATCGTGAGTCATCCAGCTTTAAGTCGAATATTCTTTGTAGCTGCGCCACTATTCGGGTGATGGGGCAAGGGCGGTGATTTGCGGACACTTTTGATTGGCCCGGCTGCGGCCGTCAGCATTCGGTTCGCACCATCCAACTGCAGGAGGGCCCCTGCAAAGATCCACCTGCATCACGAGGGCCTGACATACCCGTAGCACAATCCAAACGTCACCAAGCCAAGGAACCACGCGGCCCGCCTGGCGGACCTGGACGACTCCCTGGCCTCGTGCGCTCTCCGCGCGCTGAACTCCTTGGGCGAAGGAAGAGAAGGTGGGAGGCGAAGGGGAAACCACCGCTGGGAAGGCTGAGGTCCCGTGTCCAGCTGTGGATATTGTTGACGTGTTGGTCGAAGCCAACATGCCATGCCAGTTCGTGCTTGGCAGTCTCAGCAAACTTGGTGGCTGCGGTGTCACACTGCCAGTGGGGAAACGAGTCGTATCACGGAGCATCATGGCTTCTGCAGGTCTTCCGCATTTTCAGTTTGAGCTTTAGGATAAATATGTGTCCGCAGCATTTTGAGGCTGAAGAGGATCGGGATAGATTTTGAATCTTTGGGCTTCAAGAAGTCTGAGCGGCACAGAGATGCAAATGTCGAGCCCGCGCAAGACACGCCTGAGTGGGGGGCTTTCAAGGCTTTCGTGGCGATCCGGGTCCCAGCTCTGGATCCAAATATCGGCACTCATCTTCCTTACCTTCTCGTGCTGGTATTTGATTGTGCACCACATCAGTCCGACGACGCGCGCCATGTCCCATCACACATTCATGTCGGCATCGCGGCCGCCTTCACTCGTGGCTTCGGGTCCTAGGCCTGACCACGATGCAGGGCTCCTCACGTCACGGAGGACCTCTGAGCCGCCAGCAAAGCCCAAGTGGTCGTGGCCACTGAGTCTCATGATCCTCACTCTCAGCCTTTCTGCCTCAAGTAGCCAAGCTTCTGGCTCCAGCTTGTCCATGGCTTCGCCACGCACTGGGGCTTTTTCAAAGTCAAGGGTGAAGCTTCAAGCTTTTGCTGGTGGCTTGGAAGGGTGTGATCATCACGGGGCAGGACGTTACGAGTTTGATCCTCTGGACTTCTGTAACAACTTCCCCGAGCATCTCCCCTGGTATAGAGAGGCAGAGGTAAAGCATGGGCGCGTTGCTATGCTTGCTTATGTCGGTTTGGTTGTTCCTGATTTTGTTCGCTTTCCGGATCCCATCTTCCACCAGAAGGGCATGGATGTCATCACCGCCCACTCAATTCTCTTGAGCGCTGGCTTGGGCAAAGGTCCAATGTGGTGGCTTCTCATGCACCTCAGCAGATTCATGGCTGTGCCGCTGCATGCAGAGAGGGTGTACTCAGTCTTCTACCTTAGTCGTATATACTCGTATTCTGCGTCGTGTACCAAGTCGTATACCGAGTCATGTACAGTACTGAGTCATGCATGCTCTTCATGCTCTTTCTTCTTAGCAGCGGCCCATCGCCCCCAGTCTGCAGGTCCTGCGGGCTTGCGGAGTTGCTGCGTGTCTGGCAGCTGGGTGTGGACTTCGAGCTCCTCACGCTGGACACAGCAGGCGACTACACCGTGGGCGAGCTCTTCCTCCCGGAAGCAGATGAGGAATTATCGATCCTCAAAACGCAGGAGCTCAAGCACGGACGCCTGGCCATGATTGCTTTCGGTGGGGCGATTACTCAGGCTGTCTCATGCAACGCGCATCATTTTCCATTTGTTCCCTGAAGCTTGCGTCAGTTTAGCCCAGTGCCTGGAGAAGCAGTTTTGAGAGGATACCAGGATAGCCTACATGATGACGGAGCCTAGAGTCTAGAAGTGCTGTTAGAAGGTGACATCCTTCAGGTGCTGAATAACTGGCCCGGCATTCTCTGTTTTGGCAGGTGCTTGGCTTCGCTTGCGAATCCAGCACGCCTAGGATTATCAGCTGTTGCGTTTAAGCCAGTTGATGCAATTCTATGCATGGGCTTGCCAGTTCGGGATTGTATCTTTGAGCAGCGAGCCGTCTACTACCTTTAAGATGCCTTTGAACAATGGTATTGCCAGCATGTGTCAGAAGCTAAAGTTAGACCGCATCACGCAGTTTTTGCATTGTCAGCTGTCAACCAGTGACACCGTACCACCATCAGTTATCACGACCGAAGCATGCTACTATTTCCCTGTTCGGCGGCTTTCACCAGTTGTCGACCGTCGAGACATGCTGGCATCGGCACGAAATGTGGCTAGTTTGGCCAGTCGACAAATGTGTGGGCTGCCCTGCTTGAGACGTGCCAGGTGCATCTTAGTACGCTTCATGCTGCCGAAATCGTGAGTCATTTGAAGGCAAGAAGGAGGAGCAAGCCGGGCCAGCTTCAAGTCAGCGCCGCGAGTCTGCCGCGCCCCCCCAACTCCTTGAAGTCCGTTCGCGCCGAATGCGTTTTGTGCCCCACCGAGGCCTTGTGCCTCTTGCCAGACGCAGGGACAGCACCAGCAGCAACAGGATTGCTGTGTTTGTGAGGGTGGACACATGCTGAGCTTGAACTGCTGCTCTCTGAGACCATGTGCATGATGCAGTCCAGTCAGGAGACCCCACGGACGTCGCTGAGACAGCCCAGCCGTCCCTGCGAGACACAAAGAAGGCATGCGCTACTTATGCTACTGAGAGCAACGTTGCTGACTGCTCGGAGAGCAGTTCTATGGCTGCAGGTCGTGGCCTGTTTTGGGAGGAGTGAGATGGATGAGACGAGCGAGGTATCGCCGGTGGTCGTCAGGTTTGTGCCTCTTGGTGATCGGCTCAGAAGTCTGCTATGCCGGCGAGGCACTCTGAAAGATTCCCTGTAAGACTTGCCGCCATGTTGAGGACTTGCTCGTGCCGAGAGTGGCTCTGGTGGCGCAGGCACTTCCAGCCAGAATCCACGTGTTTAGCATGTGGCATTGCAGTTTCTTGACGGCCAAGCGGCCAAGCTTCGAGTTGCTCGTGGCAATGCGCTTTTTGTAGATCTTGTGGCCCTTGTGGATCAGCAGTGCCGTCGCCATTTTTCAAGCCTCGACTGCCTGGAGCATCAGCTCTAAGTCCCTCAGTGTCTCAGTGCTTTCTTCTGTCAGTCGGCCCCTTGTGATGGCTCTGCCCGTGGCTTGGTTGCAAAGAGTGCTGGGCTGCCGAGAAAGACAGTGTGCGCTTCACATCACTGCGTGCCACGTGCTGCTGAGGCGATGAAGACGGCAATGAAGAAGGCAATGAAGAAGGCAACAGCGCTTCCCGTTACAGAATGTAGGAATCGTTTGGCAGAGCACAAGCCGTGATGCAGGCTGATTCCACGAAGAGACGCTCGATGAAGGCGTGAGACCTGCATTGTTTTTTCCGACCCGACCCTCATGAAGAACGAAAAGGATACAACTGTTTCGCAGAAACGCGGAGTGCAGGCTGTGGTTTGGCCATGGTTTGGCCAAGTTGGGTCTATTTCTGGAATTGGGGGGTAATGGAGACTTCCTCTGTTTGCTTGTTGCCGAAACTGTCGTCGTGTTTTTGTTGAATCCCCTGATGTTTCCCAAATTCGGCTTCCGAACAACCAGTGCAAGTGTATTGAAAACTGCGAAGATCCTTCTGCACTTTTCTGCTCGTGACTCGTGACTCGTGACTCGTGACTCGTGACTCGTGACTCGTGACTCGTGCCTCGTGTTTGCAGAACTCAGTTCTGCAGGCCAAGCGCGTCACTCAAGTTGCGCGAGGAAGGCTGGCAAAGTCCATGGTCTTCAGCGGAAAGAAGGCAGATGGCCATGTAGTCCGGTTCACCTTTTGCTTGTCTGGCCTGGTGTATTGCAACACGGATGACGTGACATGGGTCAGGTGAAGACAAGTGGCGGCCTGACCAAGGACCCTGCGAGGAATTTGGCATCCCAGGTCTAAGAGGTTGGAAGTGTCGCATGCAAAGTGATCCAGAACTTCAAGGTCTTATGAGCTGGGTTCGGCTGTCTGTGGCGACTGGCAGGATGGACTTATGTCCAACGTGAGGGGCAAAATCGTCTCGAAGCGGCAGTCTGCCCATGGCAAGAAGTGCGGATGGCTCAGAGTCCTCGCTGCCAGAATATTCACAATGTCCGCCCGGCTGCTATCAGGTTTCAAGCACATTGAGGGCTGGGTTGAGGCAGTTATGGAGGCGCGCCGCTGATGTCTCTCGCATGCTGTAGACCCACGTGTTGACTGCGGCAGCCTTGCCCCACTTCATGACACTGGGAGATCTTGCACACGACGTTGGAGGCTTTTGTGCTTCCGAATTCCGCCGTGCAGGCTCGGGCTGCTTTCAACGCCAAGGGGTTTGTCGCAATCAATGGCAAGACCCTGCAGGGCAAGGCGGGATTTTGCCAGCCCAAATCCCGCACAGCTTTGCTTGAAGACATTCGTCAGTGTAATGCCCGCACCTGCAGAGGCGCTCTATGCGAAGGCCAAGACGATCCTCGCCCAAAGCCTGGAGCAGGCGTGGAGAGCAATTGGGAGAGAGTCTTCACAAGAGCAGTGCGTAGCAGTACCCTTAGCGCTATGTAAGTACTCAAAGAGCGACTGTACACGCTACGGCAGGACCCGCGTAAGCGCTGAGAGTGCTTCTTTGTTTTGGTTCAGTTCACCCGAGTTCACCTGAGTTCACATGCCCCTCAGGCCAAACAGCCAGTCCAGGAGCCATGATCAGCGAGGTGGGGTCTGGATGGGGTTTCAGCAAGAGTCGAGTTAGTGTCACAGTTGGGATGCTCTGAAACGCCTGGCTGAGGCTGAGATTCGTCCGCGGCACACAGGAGCGACCTGTGTGTTTTGGCTTTCCATTGCCTGAAAGCAGAGGCAATTAATCTCGCAAGGGACTGGGGCAAAGGGGGCTTTCCCTCGAGCCTCAGACCGCCGCGACATGCAAAAGCTTGGCTGCGCGAGTGTTTCAACACACCCAGGTGGCATGTTCATGTTCCTCAAGCTGTTTTCACGTGTGTGCAGACGAGCTCTTGGGGGATTGTGGGTGGCCCCTGCTCGCAAGACACGGTGGGGACAGTACGGAGCCGATCGAGCCGTGGGCCTGTTTCTGTGTCAACACGAGTGGATGCAGTCGATGTGAAAAAAAGGAGCCAGAGACATCTTGGGGACCTGGTGGGGACATCGTTCCTCACGGTTTGCGAAGCTCACCCGAAGCCATAAGTTTCCTTAAGCCCTGACTGCAAAAGGCATCTTTTCTCTTCTGTCGTCTTGTCCTCATTGTACAAGGCATTACAAGGCCCATGCGCCATAATAAGATGAAGGACTCGTAAGCTGTCCACCCTGAGGGGATGCATTTCTAAATCTTCCCTCACTCAAATGCCCACAGCGCAGCAGGAGTCATATAAACCATTATAAACCCCTCGACCTTAAACCTGAAAAATCCTAAGAATCAGCACAGGAGTCCTGAAAAGACCAAGAAGCAGTCAAGTCTACTCTGCAGTTTGGGTGTTCTTCCTTCGCCTTGGATGCCCTGAGCCCCACGCAAGAGGCACTGCTGGCACCGTTGCCGAGGTGGAGGACTACCAAGCCCAAGCCTCGGTGTGCCACCCCCACTTTAGGGCAATTTTCGAGCAACTTTAGAGCAACTTTAGAGCAACTTTAGGACCCTGTAGGGGTCTTAACAACCTTTAGGGCCTTGAGGGTTTGGGGTTTTGGGGCTTTCGTGATTGAGGGGTTTAGGGTTTAGGCATTCTGCACATTCTGCAACAGAAAGGCTGGTCCATCGATGCGCACGCGCCCTGTTAGGGCACTTGTGTGCCGAGGTCAGGGAAGTTGGGCTCCGCAGCAGCGGCATGTACCGGATCGTTCCAGAGCCAGGCCTGGGAGTTGCAGTCCTTGCCATGAGCTGACTCGAGCTGATGTGGTTTCTCTTCAAAGTAAGGTTGCCCGTAATACGCTCCACACCCCCCAAAATACCATGCCCTTGTTGCAGGAAAGGGGTATCCCAGTTTCATCGGAAACGCCCCCACTTGAGCTTCTTTGAACAGAGTCGGATGTGGTGCATGCCCTCGATTTGCAGAAAATCGGAATGAACGTGTGCAAGAGGGAGTTGCCGAGGACGTGAGGGCCCCGGGGGGGGGGGTTGAAGTTGGATCTGCCTGATTGATTGGTGTGCGGCGACGGAGCTGCTGCTGAGGCTTTGGTGGTGCACTATCAGTGGGTGCGATGCCCTGCATTTTTGCGGCTTTCATGTGGAAGTGTTGTGTAAGTTCAATGATGTCGTTTGCTTGCTCTGTGTATACCAATACATGTTACATGAAGTTACAGAGGCTCCTCGAGTCACCGAACTCGATCGTTTCTCAAAGGGGCGTGTCAACAAGTGGGGCTTAAGTAGGGTTCAAGCAGCAGTGTCTCGCCACGATGCACCAGGTACCTCCGGCGTCTGTTCGGGAGGATTCGCAGTCGTTGGATGAGACTCTGGCCACAGCCCTGCGCACCCAATCTAACCGAGTGATCTGGCGCACGCAGCTGCCTTCTTGAGGTTGCTGTCACGCATGTGCGGCTCCAGTTGCCAACGGCAGAAAAGGAGGAGCTGCTTGTCGATTTGAGAAGCCAGCGAGCCGGCTCCTCAGTGGCAGCTGAAGTGGTGAGCGATCGTGAGCGGTGCCTTTCACTCAGTGCCAGGTCACTGGAAGCTCCTCCTGGTATCAGGCAGCGACATCCATGCTCTCCGATGTTCTTGAGCAAGAAATCTTGGGCAAAAAGCACACTAGAGATCGAACAAACAGAGCGCGACACTGCCATGAAACTCTCCTCAAGCAGGGCCTTCCGGCCCTCCTTCGCGACTCGGCCGACGGCTCTGGCGGCTTTCGGCGACTGGCACTGGCCGTCGGCCCCGGCCTGCGCCTGCCAGGGGGCCCCAGAGATTGCCAGAAAGCTAAGAAACGGGGAAGTAGGGGAAAACCATTTACAAAAAACAAACACACACACACACACACCTACAAAGCTCTCCCCCTAGAGCCCTCCTTCTGGTCTTTTTTTGAAAAAGACACCATGTAGTCCATGTAGTTTACGGCCAATGACGACGTGGTATCGTCCAAGAGCAGCTCGCGGTGCTTGCCTTGGCATGAATGCAGCTGTTTCTGCTTGAGCCGCGAAGCCGATTCGACAGTGATTCGACAGGCCAAGGCCGAAATGCCAGCATTCTTCCGCTCATCAAATTAATTTTCTTATAAGATCTTCAGCATCTTTAGCATGCTTGGCGAATCTAGGCCTTGTTGTGTCATGCAGCCTTTTCCGAACCAGTTTGCCCTTTCGGTTCTCCTTATGCCGCAAGGAACTAGCAGTTGCGGCAATTGACGGCCATTTCTCGGACTTGGTGCGGCGTTGCATGCTGGTCTTATTCCTTTGTGACAGCCTTCTGCAAGCTCACAAAGGTTCCGGCATCAAGCTTCATTGTCTAAGGGACAGCCACCCCTTCCTGTCATGCCTTTGCATCGCCAGTGGAGGAGGATTGGTCATGCCTAACCCGCAATCGGCTGTTGGTTTGGCAGCCCGAGCATTGGCAACTGAGCCATTGGTGCAGGAAAGCCTAATGAAGAATCCTGTGGTACGAGTTTTGGTAATCCAAGCAGCCAGAAGTACTGCTAAGTGCAGATCTCATGGGGAACAATTCCCGAGAATCACCCGCGATCGCGAACACTCCAAACTTGTGAAGGATCTCGAAACGCCCTGGACGATCTGTGACCTCGAAGACGTGATAATGAGCCGCCCTCACCGAACACACCCCGAGCTGGAAGCTTGCAAGCTGCGAAACCCGATGGGCATTTATGGCCAACGAGGTGACGATTTGCATTTTCGGAAAGACATTGCCGTTGCCGCTGGTGACGAACTTCTCAAAGCTGCTAGACGAACTGCGCTCAGGAAGTACCCCGACATGGAGGAAGATGGCAGTGTCCTTCTAGTCTTGGCGGCAGGGTGGAACGCCGATCATGCAACATTCGACTGCTTGGACTCTGATGGTCATGCTTGGCGCAAAGCTGAGATTGTTGCTTTGGCAGAGCTGTGTGCCTTGAACGGTCATCCAGCATCGGTTTTCAGGGCCAAGTTCAAAGAGCTGCTTCGAAGACTGCAGGGGGAGCACACTGCGTTCCTGCTGCAACCTGTTGCGGGCATCCAGGCCATCGCGCCCTCACAGGCAGGAGACCTGCAGCGAACACTAGAACACGCGCTGTCGGCGCCCAATGATCTGCACAAGGGAGGCTGCCTGCTGTGGCCACGAGAAACTAAACGTCAGCGTCGCCAGACAGATGCCGAGAGACTTGCCGAGCTCACGGGAATCCCCGCCGAGACAGCGCAATCCATCCTTGAAGCAACGGGCAGTCTCGAGATTGCCCTGCAGCATCCCATGTTTCAGCCGACGCCAAGGCCTGTCATCGGATCCTTCAAGCAGAGACTCCGAGGTCCAGTCGAGGTCATCAATTTGGATGAGCTGGACGACACTGCTCATGAGCAAAATCAGACTCTCACGTTTGGGTTTATATAGGTTCGCACATCACACATTATCACACATTCATCCCGCGGCGCTCTCGTGAGGCCCCTGCCAAGGCAGCTCTTCGCGCAAGAGGACGGAATCAGCGAGAGCGCCGAGGCTGAAAGGGGCAAGCCTATCGCCCCAACTTTCAGGTGAAGGGGGGATTTACCAGGTTCTTGTTGATCAGGACTCAGGTGTTAAGGGAGGGGTGAACCATGTTTCCCACGGAGGGGGAACTCAACCATTTCAACTTAAGAAGTGTCACTGTTCCCTGTGAGCACACACCTCCAAGCCACAGATCCCATCAGAACGTGTTGGGAGGTTGTGGCCCAGCTCCTGGCGCTTTGGTTCAGCCAACGGCACAGCCTGGAGGAGGGTGGGGGGGTTGGTCAAGACTGCTCTCTGTGGATGCTTGGGGCAGAAGGCCGTGGATGCAGCACAGATTCAAGACAGGGATTGCACGTAGTACTTCGCATCCTCGCAGGACATGCAAGCTGCACTCCGCTGGGGCCTCAAACGATGCAATCCTCCGTCATATGGAATACTGTCAGCTACCACGCAGCGATCCGAGTTCCATCACAGGCAACAGATCCGAATAATCAAGGTCATCAGCCTTGCCTGACCTACTTCGCATCAATGGCCCGGTGCTTGTAAACCTTCCGACACATTGAACTCGGTGCCATCCTTCTGGCTGCCTTGTGACCTTTTTGAGCATGAGGATCTTCTGAATCGCTTCGACAAGATGGGCAAGGTCCTGATCCAGGCTGCGCAGCGCTTCTTTTCTTGGTTGTGGAGCGAGGCTGCAAACCATCTGATGTCGCAGTTCGGTGTTATACAGAGCGGTTCCAGGTATCGACATTTAAACATTTAACTGCAGGCGTTAGTTCGGACACATTACAGGTATGGAAGGGTGGAGTGCCACTAGAAAAGTTCGAACCTTTAAAGGAGTAGCGAGCCAGGAGCCCTGCAAAGAGGGAGCTTGCAACTCTTAGTCCTCTAAATTGTTGTCCTTCGAAATTCTTTGCGACTAAGCAACGGCAGCCTTTTTTTTTGGTGCTGGTGAGGGTTAGGGCACACCTGGTAATCTGAAAACAGACTCCGGCCGAAGGTTTGTGACCTTTCACATAGGCAATGCATACACTTCCTCTACAACCCTTCAAAGAAACAGCAACGCATCAAGACGCCCATGGAGTTCTGGGTACACCTGGAAAACACACAGTGGGCACGACCAGGCCTTGCGACAACATTGGGCGAGAGTGTTGCACCTCTCGGGAAGTGCTCTCGGGTGCGTCACTGAGATGACAGGGACGAGTCTGTCCATCACTTGGGATGTTCCTAACTAACTAACAGTCCTTAATAGGGACTGTAATAGGGGGTACTATAATCCCTATTAAGGACTGTCAGTATACGGGGGAACATCCCAGTCCATCACCGAGGTTCATGGGTGTTGTCTCCCAGGGTGTGCAAGCTCTGCTTTTGAGGCCTGGTGGCAACGGCAACGCTGTTCTACACGAGGCGAAGGTTGCCCCTTACGGTTTCTGGTTGTGGCTGTGCTGCCTGTGATAATCCATTTGCCAGGAGATTCTGGTTCAACTCTTGCTTGCTGGTCGAGGAGACTGCTTGGCAGCCGTGCGCCACTGTGGGGAGAGCGTTGAGACGCTCGAGGCGTGGACTAAATCGCAAGAGATGGTCGGCAAGCCCAAGCGAGGTACTGCCGGCTGGCCACCTTGCCCATTTCTGTGAGCCGCTCGTCCTTGCAGGACCTCGTAGAATCTCAGCTTTGCCGCAATCTTGCATGTGTTACCATCCACTTTGCGCTCCAGCCGTGCTGAGAAGCCTAAAGCTGCACCCGAGGCTGGTAAAAATCACCAAGCTGTCGTTGGAGCTGCTGGCGGTGGAGCGCTTTTGCTTTGAGGCTCGGGAGGTCTGAATATCTTGATTGCCACCCCATCTGTGCAACACGGACAACTTGCGCTGGGCCGAAAGCAGCACACTCCCACAATGAGGGGCACGTATGGAGGCCTCACTTGAGAAGATTGCAGCCGCAAAGCATTCCACTGTCACCTTCATCTTGGTCGTCAGTGCCTCAGCTCTGCATGCTCTGCTCAGTTTGTTCCTAGTCTACCTTGGATCCGCTTTGACCAGGAAGTCACTGGACAAATTTCGGCACTACAGCTGAGCGAGCCAGATGCCTAGAAAGCAGAATGTCGAGCACAATCGAAATCTCAGAATGCATCGCCACTCGTTCAATACCAGAGCATGTGCAGGCTGGTTCGCACCGCATCCGGATCTGCGCGGCTCGTGTTCAGACCGAGCCTTGTTCTACTTGCAAAACGAAAGTATGAGCATCGGCCAAGCCGGGCTGATCTGGGCGGCATGTTGAGGCGTTTGCTTAAAACTAGGCGGAGGGCCACACGATAGCCTTGTTGCCACAGGAAGCCCAAGCTTTGCTCGATGAGAGAAGTCTGAGTGAGGTTGGTTTCCCGGCCTCCTGCCCAAGTTGGCCTTGACGCGCTCACTGGGGGAAGTCTTGCTTCCACAGTCGTTGCGAGAGGCCATCACAGCCCACTCGTGTGATGTCGTGTGTGTTGTGCTTCTTGTTTCATAATTGTATTCGGTCGTGAGACTTATGTGGAGCAGCTCAGACTCAACCTGGCTACAGGCTGACCTGAGCTCGCGATCTGCTCGGCTCCCAAGAGCATTCTCATGAGCAATCCTACCGTGTTGCCACGCCTGTGCATGCTGCAGCTGCCCGACCTGAGGCACCGACGCCGTATCGTGATACCTTTGCGTCCAGCGCCTAAGTTTGCTTGGGCATGCCGCACGGAAAGGGGTAGGTTTTCGATCACTTAACTCAAAATCCTTTAGAAGCGAATTTCCTAATTGAATCTTCGGAAGACGCCAGCACCAAAGCCTGTTGAACGCCAACAGAGCATCTGGAACTTATGAACCTGGACTCCCAGCTTGAACTCCCACATTTGACTCAGAAAAGTAAGGCTGGGCCACGCTACGCTGCAGTGTAGCCTCACATTTCCAGACCAGCCAGACCTGTTGAGTCCTTTGGCGGGAGACTTAGGCAGGTCACCCGAGTGACTTGAAAATCTGTCTGATTTGTGCAGAAAACCTGGGAGGCTTGTTTTTGGCGCAAATGCTGAGGCCGGGAAGAAGCTGCCAAATGGGCCACATGCGAGTAGGCCCAGCTGCGCCATTCTACTTGATGCCAGCCGTTGCCTTGGAAACTCAACGAAGCGACAGGCGGCCCAGCGACGATGGTGCGCTGCACATCGACTGGGCGGCGAGCTGAGTGTCGAGTGATTGCGCAGCTCGTGGGATCACATGGGATCACATGGGTTTGTGTCGGCTTCGCTGCAGCTGATCGCTGAGGAAAGAAACCTTGGAGAGGCTCAGGCTTTTCTGAAAGCCGCCCATGCCCGGCCCTGTCGCTTTCATCCTGCCTAACTCGGGTGAGTCCTCCGCGTGGATCCGCGTGGCATTGCGCCGAGGCATGGACGGATGAGGAGCTCCGTTGGCGAAGGCCTTTGCATGGCCGGCGGGAGCGCTCGGAAGGTATTTGAAGTTTCATGTTCTGCTTGCAGTTCGTAGAATACTTATTGCGGGAGACCAGAAGCATCTTTAAGCTGCTCCCCGATACACTTGGGAAGCTATGTCCGTGACATGCCCAAGCTTAAGGCCTCGGACACAGGACGCGCTGTTGCTGCTGGTGACTTCCGACGAGGCTCTCAAACGCTTTCGTGCGCTCAATCTGCTCCACTGCAGTGCACTCTTCCAGTACCCCGTGACGCCGACTTGGTAGCGGTTTGTCTTCAAATTCTGTGGTGGTCAGGCATTGGTGCAGCGGCACTATGCTGGACAACCGGATTCCGTACAATGCTTCCACCTGAACCACACCGATCGACAGGCCTGGAGTCTGAGCTTGCAGGCCATGTGTTGAAATCAAGCCTTGATCATCTTGATCCCCAGGGCATGGCTCCCTTGGAAGCACTTCTAGGTCGCCTGCGGCTCAGAGCAAGAGACGCGGTATCACGTGGCCTTTCGATGCGTCCGAGGCAGTCGTGAGTCTGCAACAGCTACACCCAGTACCAAACAGGTGACCATAGTTCTGTTTGGAGTGGGCCTCTCGGCACTGGTGCAGCTGTACTCAAGTTGCATACGGACGGAAGTTAAAAGTCGGCAACTAGGGTAACTAGACCTTGCCTTCCAGGTGGGGTTCGTCACGCCGTCCAAGCTTGAGGACTTGGTGGCAAGGGCATACATGGCCGGCATCCGGGCACCTTTCTGAGTTCACTCCCCACATTGACCGCATGAGAAACGTGCACGTGCTTGGAACATGCGTTGCGTGCGCTTCGTACACGCTGAGATGGCATCAGGCGATCTTGGTGGCGCCTGAGCCGCTGGCTTTCTTGCGCTGCATTCGCCGGATGCCTACAGTGTACGGTATCACGTAAATTTCGTTTCGCCCGGGGAGCAGCAGATCATTCACAGCTGCAAACAAACCTTGATGCTGCCGCGAATTGCACAAGAGGCATTGCCGCTGCGCATCGCTGCGCTGTTGTTGACTGGAAGCTAAGGCATCACTACCCGAGTCTCCACAGAATACATCCATGCTACTCTGCTCTATGCTCCTTGGCTGCGACAAAAGCCATCAGGCTCAGATCTCAGATACACGCTCCCTCCCGCTTCTGTGCCAAGACTGAGGTCAGAAATGTCCAGTCTTTCGTGCGGACCTCTGTTGCGTCAAATTGAAAGGCAGCTATCCAATCTGGTCCACGTTGTTCCTCTCTCTTGGGATTTCGCAGAGAGAGAGGCGGCTCACCTTTCGGACCGGATGGCCCACAGCGCTCTCCGCGCGCTGCGCCTGGTTCTAGGATGCCAACCATTAGCTTGACTTGAAATCCACTGCGAATTGGCCATGCTTGCCTATCTGTCACTCTCTCATGCTGCCTCACTTGCTCCCTCTCTCTGTTTCTCCCCTGCTCCTTTCACCTGCAGGACATGCACGGTTGCCCAGCTCACCCCCAACGGCACTCATCGAAGCATTTCAGGCATGGTCGTTAAGGTTGTTGTATCATTGTGTGGCAGGGCCTTGTCATGTTCCAACGCCTGTGAAAAACCAACTGCCAATTGTCACGAATCGCCACGTGTGCATGGCCCCCCATCCTTTGCTGGCAAACACACAGAGTTGACTATTTACAGACTGACGATGTTGCAGTTTTCGCTGTGATAGAGCTGTGGCCGGCAGGCCCCGACCAAGTGAACCATTTGTGGCTTCATGATCCACGAACTTTGTCAGGCTCGTGACCCTGTTGCCTGTGGCAAAGAGATGGCTTCCCTCCCTGCTCCAGAAGGACTCAAGCGGTAGTCTGCTGCATGGAGGGGGCATGCTTTGCGCATCTTTGCGCAACGGGGCATGAGCGTGCCCGTTGCCACATCAGGACGACAGATTCTTCAGACCAGCGTGGCTGCGGCCCGGAGCCCAAGTGATTCCAAGAGTTCTGCCTGAACAAAACGTCAATCCCGGAGACGACACCTAAATTGCAAACGCCAGGGAGAAGGGGTTCATGGCAGTAGTTTGCAGTTTCAATTTCTTGTAGGTCCTTAGGGAGGGTTGGTGGGGCCGGTAGGGGAAGGCAGAAAGTCTTGCAAGTACTTCAGGCCTGTCAGCCTCGGCGGACTGTAGCAGAGTTCAGAAAGCCCATGGCCATGGCAACCATATTTCCAATGCACCTTCAATCACTTCACAGCCTAAATCCCAAGTCCTCAAAGCGGCCTCACGCTGCATTCCAAGCTCAGTCGTGCTTGGCAATGCATGTCCAGGACCTGGCTGCCGGGATCCTTCAAACACTGACACCCACGGGGAAGCCTCGGGTTCCAGTTACGGCCTTTGTCTGCGTTAGTGCTCAGCACATTTCAGCACTCCTCAACTCTGCTATGTAGCTGCAGCGTTTCCGTGATACAAAGACGAGGTCTCCGCGACCTTCGACGCCCGATCGCTCTCCTATGCCATTGGCTGCCTTTCTGCGTCCTTCGTGATGAGGGCTGACCAACTTGGACTTGATCAGGGTGTGCCAGCCCGAGGGGCATATGAGGGAAAAAGGCTGGAAGATGCTGGAAGAAAAGAACACCTTTCTAGGTCTGGGACCTCAGCTTCCCTGACTTTCGAGCGCACCTGCCTGTCTGCCGGTTCCTGGACCAGGCGTGGCCGAATCCTGCTGAGACTTTGAGGTTCAGAGGATGCGTGGTATGACTCTCGCTTACAGTCCGAAGACCATTGGGGCAACGTTTCTGCTTGGGAGTCGTAACACGCCGTCGGTTCCATGGGGTCGCGGCTTCCCGAGATTGCCCTGTCAGGCTTCGGTGCTCGAGGCTTGGTGTCGCTACCTGGATCTTGTGGGCTCCGAGGCACATGGGAGTTCTGCAATTGCTGGGTCTTTGTTCAATGAAATGAGCAGAGGTGCCCTCCACAGAGGCCTGTCTGTCGCAAGGCCTGCCTTTGGGCATCGTCGTAAGTTTGCAATAAGCCTAGGTGGGTGTCCCTGAGTGAGAGGACCAGTTGTATGGCCAAGCAAAGAGCCGAAGACGCACTTCCTCCTTTCCCAGTGGGAGATCGCCAGCAATACTCACGCTGCGGGGCTCGAGGCCTGGCTCTGCGCAGCTTTGCACTTTGCCCCTTCGGAAGCTGCATACTTCCTCGGACGATGCCCAGCCAGCGCCACCAGGACATGCTGGAACAGGCGACCGCGCACTTGGCAGCGTCTCCGAAGGACTACGGACAGGCCCCGTCAATGTTGCCGGACGCCTGTGTGAATTTCACTATGTCATGATCATCTTCCATGAACGGCACGCAGCCTTACCTTGGGCCTTGCATGAGTGGCATGCCAGCATCATGAGATATCATGAGCATTTCGCAGCATGCCAGTGCTTTGACCCTTTCCGCAAGCATCAGAAGCATCAGTGGCCCTTCGCATTGACCCTGCACGGCATGTCAGCGTCCCGACTCTCCACAAGCATCATGAGCATCAGCATCGACCCTTTCGCAGGCCTAGGAATGAGCATTATGAACGTCATCGAGTCATCAGCATTGCTAGCGCTGCCAGGCAGAGGCTGCTTATGTTGGCTTGGGCGCTGCTCTCAACGTTCGGGACATTTTGCCAGCGGAGGGCTAGTAGTCTTGCTCTGGACACGTCACCAGAATACTGATTGGCATGTGTTTCGGGCCTTGTGAGAGCCGCTGGCAGCTGTGATCCAGATGATATGACATGACTCATGACTTAAGCCTTGACAAAGCTACTTAGGCTCAATCCATCAGAGCGAGGATCCGGAGGAGGCCCGGCTGTTTGACTTTTGTGGTCGTCCTCGTGCTAGATGTTGGGTCCAAGAGACACAAAAAGAGGCTTTTTGGGTTCTATTTAAGAGACTCTGAATATTGAGGTTCTGGAGAGACACTGCTTGCAAAGCCACGAGATGGACTGGGGAGCCTTCTCAGACTCTTGGCGAACGGCCCTTGACATCAAGCCCGGGCTCTTCCTTCAGCTGGCCGGTCTCGGGGTGGACACCTTGCGACTCTTCCTTTGCTTGCCACCTGCTCGCGCCATCGAACTCGGCCTGACCTACTTGCTCGCGTCTGGCTGCCGTGGAGCCACGCCACAGGCCAAGCTTGCACTGTCTGTCACGGACAACTTGATCCGGGACCTGAAGTGCACGGGATCACTTCTCACGGCGCTATCGCAATCCGGAAGTGGAGGTGCATCTGAGCTCTCGCCTCGGATGGCAGCTCTCAAATGGTTGCTGTTGACAGTTATATCACCCTCCTCCGATGGTCAGGTCCCTGATCTGGACTTCTGTCACATTACGGAGCATGCGCTTCAACAGCTGGTTCAATCAAATGTGATGCTGTGCCCTCGGGGTCGCTCGGACCTCCTCATCCGTGTTGCTTCCATGCTGATCTGCTTCGACGGGGACGTGCTAAGCTCGCAGCATGAAATCAAGCGTTTTTTGCTGGAGACGGATCGGCCCCTAGCCTCTCTGCTCCCGAGCTCCTCGAAAATTGGCAGAGCTGTGGTGTCCCTTCTCTTCTGCCCGGATCACGCGGAACAAATCAAGCATGGTGAGTTGGGTGTATCTCTTGTCCGCAGCTTCGAAAGCCTACTCGGCTACAATGTGCTGGATTGGATCTCGCTGGATATGCCTGGAGAGCCACATCGCCTAACAGCAGCTGCTCATGCTGCTATCCTGGAGCACGCGCCAGATGTTGAGAATGTGCGTGAGATCGTAACGAAGCCGCTTTTGACTGCCACAAACAAGCTGATGACTCTTCAGGGAGCTCGCGCCTCCGATCGCTTCCTGTGTGATCTCTTTGAGAACCTTCCTCCTGCCCTGGACACGCTCACGCTGCTGATCCTCAAAATTCTCTCAAGCGATGATGAGAAGATCAAGCCGGTAGTCGATGCGCTCAGTGGCAGCCTCCGATCTGCAGGCAGTAGCCTTCTTGCATCGAGTAGGAATCCATTTCTGCCAGCGCTGTTCTCGGCCTTGCAATCGCGCAGCCTCGGCAACTACCTTGCCATGGTGGCTTCTCACAAAAGCGTCGATCCTGGAAGACCCCTGCTTCTCGCCTTGGACAGCAGCCCTGAGCTTCTCGATCTGTACATCCAATATTTCCGCACGGTGATTCCCTCAGGCGACATCGGGCCTGCAAGCTTGCAGTCCGCGCTTGGCATTCACAACGCCATGCTGGACGATGCCTCTTGCGCTGCCCTGTTCTCCAAGCTCGCAGCGGGCGAAGCCAGGGAGGCGCACCAGAGCGATCTGGTTCTGATGTGGTACTGCTGGGCCCGCAGTCCTGACAAGCAGCTGCCCTTTTGGGCCTTGCCCTCCTTCAAGTCCGGGCCGCTCTGCATTGCGTCCTTAAATGGGAGTGGCCTTCCGTTTGTGGAGCGATGCAAGCCCATGCGTTTTGGACTGTCGGTCCTGGCAAAATTCCTCGTGGCGCCGGAAACGCTGCCCCTGGGTGTCTACAACACACTCGCCGAGAAGGCTTCCTGGGTGCACTCGGAAGAGCAAAGTAGCTCGGCGATCAAGGTGCAGACGCTTCTGCTCGGGCAGGAGGACCAGGAGGATTACCCACCCTACTGTATTCGCTGGCACGCACGAGCGTTGCCCGTAAGCTTGAAGAAGCAGCTCCTGCGGCAATGCAATGGCTTAGTTGCCCCGCTGATGGACACATCCGTGCACGACTTTTACCCTCGTGTGAACTCAGGAATGGGAGAGGCAAACCTTCGATTCAACCTTGGATTGCTGTTGGCCCTGCGCTTTGGCAACCCGGACCTGCAAGTGTACTTCGATCATGGAGCCGACATCCAGCGTCAGTTCCTGGCCGGCTGCATTTTGTGCTGGTGCAAAGCCGCTGGCTTCTCCTTTCCCGAGCTCCTCAGCTGTGTCAAGACAGAGAACCAAGAGGATTTCAGAACTCTTTGGCAAGAGACACACGAGGCCTATGGTCGAACAGGCCCAGCATCACTGCGGCGAATGTATGTGAGGGGCCCACTTCCCACCGATATCGATGTGCGCTGGATTGATGATGGCGGCAAGGACGTTCCAATCCTGGCACGAACACGCGATTCGGCGGTTTTGACTGCGCAGTGGTGCAACATGCTGTTGCTGCATTTTAAGCTGACAGGCTTTGAGCCCTTCACCCCACAGGATTTCGTGATTTCAGGAGGTGAGCTGCAAGGCTTGCAGGCAGGCCCACGACTGCAAACTGCCCTGTGCAGTGTCTCCGAGGCTGTGGGGTCTGCCCTTAGGGCCGAGCTGTTGGCCGACGCCACAACTTCTACACTGGTGGTTCCCCTGGGAGAGGGCAAGTACGACACCTTGCGGCTGGTAACACGGATTACGGTGCTGGCGGACTTCGTCTTCCTTCTACGCGCAAGCACCGTGGGAGCGGAGACGTCCGCAAAGATCGCCCAGTTCTTTGCTTCCATGGTTGGGGCGCTGGCTAAGGGCGACGCACTGGCGGACACTCACCTTGCAGCATTGTTCGATGCCTTCTTTCTCTTGCACGGGCTGACTTCGGAGAACGAGGGCTTGGAGGTCGAAGCACTTGCGAAGGCATACCAGACCCACAACCTGCCGGTCAGTGCCCAGACTTTGAAAGAAGTGGAGTGGCTGCACGAGAACTACTATGGTCGCAAGGATAAGACAACGAGCTCCGTCAAGTGTCGGCTGCAGCGCTTTGCCACCGTTTGTGAGCACATCGCCAGCATAAGAAGTCTCCCATTGCAGAAGGTTGCTTTTCAGCGGCATTTTGCCAAGACCCAATTTGTTGGCGAACTGTTGGCCGAGGAGTCCGACGCCTCTCCGCCTTATCTCCGTCACAGCAAGTTGCAGTTGCTTTGCACACTGCCCTCAGTTGGTAGCAGGGGACATGGACAAGAGGCAGACAATGGGGACGATACCAGAACCGATTTGCAGGAGATCGTCCAGGACAACGATGCCGCCTTTTTTGTTGAAGTTGGTGGTGACTGTGGTACCCGGATGACAGGGAACAATGGCACCGCGCGCAACTATGGCCAGTGGGACTTGCCAGATTTGGCCAGCTTGCATGCGGCCGATTGGAAAGAGAAGTGTCCTGTAATCTCTGCCACTGACGTCATCGAAATAGTTTCCAAGCTGGCGTCTGAGCTTTGAACAATGCCGGGTTCTCACAAGCTCACCTGAAACTTCTTGAAAACGAGGCCCTCACTGTATCTCCATGCAGCCCTGCGAATCCGCCCAGGGCCGCGCACACAGCTTGCATCGCTGCGCATAGGAAAAGCAAGCATACACAAATAGAGTAAATAGAGAAGAGGGTTGGGAACAAGAAGGCTACTGGAAGCAGCTAGATGTGGCCCAAACCCAAAACCCCAAAACCCACACCCAGAGCCTAAACCCTGAAACTCCTCACCCAAACACCGTAGACATGCAGAGTTCTCGAAGGCTTGAGCCCGTTTTGTGGCATTCGCCGAAGAGCCCTGGTTTCTACCGACTGCCGGAAGCTCAGACCACTTTGTAAGGTGACCCATGGTCAGTAGCGTGGATCCCGCTCTTGCCTGGTCTGCTGCTGGACCTTCAGACGGACCCGGGGAGGACCCTTCAACCAGAGTCCAGAAGGTACTTGCAGAGGCGTGCTTCGGAAAACGTAGGCATTGGGGGTCACCAGTTTGCCAGGGCAGCGCTTTTGACGTCCGCGGGGTTATGCATCCCCTCCTGCAACTTCTTTCCCTTCGCAGAGCCCCTTTCGCTTCGCATGCCTTTCCGTTTTGCCCTTATCCAAGCTTTCGAAAGCCTTACAATTTCACCTTGCATGTGGCACGAGGCCTCACCAACCCGGACTGATCTCAAGCACTCTGTATCGCACTGATTTCAGCGCACCTTATCCCTAGAGTCCCGATTTCCCTGCCAGTCCTTTCCAGCGTCCAAGAGCAAACATGGCAGGGGCCTTTGAACTAGTCACGAAAGCTAGCTCCTTTGGAGCTTGCGGGAGTTCTTGTTTACCAGTTTGTTCTTGGGTCAAACAGCACTCAGGGGCCTGAATCTCCGATATATCGGAGGTTTAAGCTGAGCTGCCATGGGGGGGGGGGCCCCCCCCCCCCCCCCCTCTGGCCACACAAGAAATCCTTGGAGGCTGGTGGACCTAAAAAAGGGGGGGGGGGCCCCCATGTTCCCGATAAGGTGGGGGGGGGCCCGCCCCCCCTTAGGACCCCCCCCCCCGCCCCCCCTTAGGTCAGCATTGTTACTTATCATTTCAGGGCTGAGCAGCGCGGTCTTCACACCTGCGCCCTAGCTTTCGTTCGCCCTGCTCTCAAGTTGAACCCTAAGCACGCCCCAGTGATTGCCGTCGCTTTCGGTGCCACCAAGCGCTAGAGACTCTAGAATGCTTCGAGCGATGTCGACATGGGCTGAAGAGACAAACTGGACAATAGTTATCCCGAATCCCATCATGCGGAGCCCAGGTCCACGAAACACTGCTCGCCAAAGCTTGTGAGGACAGCTGCGACAGTCAGAGCTTTGATGCCCTCAGTTGTTGAGCTTGGGGCCACAACTCGACCCCCCCCCAACTCACAGGCCAGAAGATGGCGAAGAAGGACTTGGCGTGTGGAAGGCCTTCTCGACCAACGCCGAGGCTTTGCATTGAACTCATTGCATGGGCCCGCACCATGACCCCGTGGATTCCCAGGGTGATTTGGGGTGTACGTCTCAGGCCTGGCAGTTCATAGATCGCGCCCAGAGCCCCGTTCTGGCGCTGGATGGCTGGTACTTGCGAAAAGCCGAGGACAACATGCACCAAGCTTGGTGAGACATGTTGCAGAGGTATGTGCTTTCTACTATAAACAATGGGGTTTTCTCCTTGGTTTACATTCTTGCGTCAGAGGTCCTGGGTGATCGTCTTCCCGACCGTCAGAGACCCTGCACAACCGGCCCTAAGCCTCGGGGACTTGCAGCTCCGGCAGCTCAGCCGCAGAATGCTTTTTTATAAAGTAAGCCTCCTAATTCGACTTCTTACGGTTTCTTAATTATGAGCTTCGTGGGCGCGCCCCTTCCCCCCCTTCCCCCACCCTACTTCCGATCATTTTTCCGACCCGTTCCGCATGCGTTGTCTGTCTCAGCGAACAGGCCGAGGCGCCACCTGGCTGGGGCCCTGTTGCACAGTCTGCAATGTTTGGAAAGAGTCTCCAGGGGCCTTCTTTAAAGGAAATTGTCTTTTTCCATTGGTGATGCTGAGTTGTGGCCGTTGTGCCACTCGCACAAGCTCGTCAACCTGAACTTCAGCCCATGCCCCAACTTTTCAGCTCCGCGCATGCGGAGTTTGAGTCCATTCTGGTCCTTTGCTCAGGGTAGACTCGTCCGAGCCGAACTGCTTGGGGCCAGGTTCAGAGGCTTTGCTGGTTGTGCAGCTCCTGGCAGCTCGGCAGCCTCCACACACCCTGTGCGCGCAGCGCAACACAGCGCAGGGTGGCGTGTTTTTGGGCTGTGTCGCTCGGAAGCCCAGGTGGTGGTGGCGTGGGAGCTGCAGCCCCGGAGTAGACTTTAGGACGCGCGCGAAGCAGCAACGTCAACAGACCCCTGCTTTTGGGTCAAGAGCAGAGGCTCGCACCATGGCGTGTGTTCCAAGGATGAACAGCCAGGATACTTCTGGCGGCAATGGTTTTTCGAAGGCGTCCTTCCATGCCGATGGCGCAGCCCCCAGATTCATCGCACAAATACGCGAGGTTGAATTTACAAAATAGGGAAACGTGACAAAGCACACTCAGACGCCAGAAGAGGAAGAACAAGATTACCTAGGTGACAACAGGTCACACTCCAGGCCTGCAGAGTTCATCAGTTAACCGTGCCATGCCATGCCACCAGCGTGCAACTCGCCGGTTTTGCACGGTTTGCCGATGCTAGAATAAAGTTAGGGCTTCCCGGATTCTCCGCTGCAACCCTGGCTGCATGCATATGCGCCATCTTGACTCTGACTTCGGCCATTCTAGCTTAAGCCGCGTAGCCTTCTGCCTACCGACGTGCTATTTGTGCTATCTGCTGACGGCAGTAGTCAGCGAGTGAGTTAAAGAACAAGTTGACAAAGAGTAGTCGAGCTTGTCATTCTCGTCAAGGTGCAAAGACTGAAAAGGTGGAGTCAGTCCTTGCCAGCCTCAGCTGCCTCTCCAACGAGGCCAAACTGGGGTGACCCAGAGCTGTTGGAACCTACTGTGTTGCAGCCCGCCTTCTCCCAGGTGGAGCATCTCGTCTCTGCGCAGGCACGTTCTGACTCCCTGGTGGTCTGTTGCATTGATTCATTGACAGGGATAAAGGCTCCCTGTTCAGCCTTGCCGCACAGGACTTCCCAGAAAGTGACGAGGGGCTCGTCTCGAAAGTACGCGCCGTGCTAAGCGCTGGAACTTTGGGATTCACGGGGAGCAGGAGTGTTGCAACTAAGGGCAATTGATGAGCTATCAGCAGAACGAGCCGCGGGCTCTGTTGCTGAACGCTTGCAGGTTGATTTCTTGAAATTAAAAAGTTGCATATGCAAAACGAAGAAGATTGTTTTTTGTTTTTGCTTTTGTGTTCTACCCTCGGATCTTTTTTTTTTACATTTTCGCTCAGGTTTTTCTGATCACCCGCCTACTCAGGAAATCCCACAGAGTATCCCAGGTGCACCACAAAATGAACGGCTAATGCTCACCTCATGCCTAGGCCGCCCCTCCATGCGAGGCTCTGTATCACGATCCTTCATGTGCCAGATTGGGCAGCCCAACAGGGACCTGGCAGACTTTCGGGCATCTTTTAGCCGAACCTATATCCGAACCCATGAGGCCATCCGGTATGATGGGCCTCGCAACATCCGGAATCGAGAATCAAGACGGGCGCCAAAGTGAGCAGCTAAGCAGCTAAGGCGCTTCTTGTCGGAGGTCCTTCTGAGAATCCTGTGGAAGATGAAGTCGCAGCAGCGCTGGTGAGCTCAGAACATCTCAGCTTTGATGTTGCAAATGCAGGTTGGGTAACACAACCGATCACAAACCGCCAAACCGCCGTAGTTTCGAGGTGACGACCTGGGTGCCTTGATTCGAGAAGAGAGCTTGAGGAGATGGGTCCGCAGCTTGGGAGATCAGTCATTGCACATTGCTGGCCCAAGTGGCACGGCAAGCGGCGCGAATCGAGGCCACTGTTCAGATTCCATTTGTGGAGAAGGCGGAGCCTCAGCCGCTCTCAAGTCTTGGCCGCGCCTGCGGCTCAGGGAAGGCCGCGAGAGGCCCGTGGCTTGACTGTACTTCGCCCAAAGCACGCACTTCGCCCACTTCTGCTCAGGTTCTCCAGCGACTGCTCGTCCCCATCGCTTCGAAAGCCGGCATTTTTGGCTCGCCACGACCCTAACAGTCCTAACAAGTGTCACGCAGAGAACCGTTCGATGTCGGATTAAGAAGTGAACATAAGTGAGCCGGCAACAGCAGTCAGTGGATTGCATCTTGTCTTCAAGGCCACTCACCACGCAAGCGTGGACACAACTGGAAGTGCTGCTGGAGGCTCACCAAGACTGCATACGCACTGCCGGCACTTGCCCTTCATGTGAGGACACTTCGGGGCTTCTGCAAACATGTGTCCAGGCATGCTATCGAGGAGAGCATCTCCCGCAAGAACGATGTTTGGCCAAGCACATCCATGTGCCCCAGCAATGTTGGGCGCGTGGTAGCTGTGATCCGGCTGTGCTTAATGTCTGTTGCATCCTGTTGCTGCACGTGGGTCTCAGCAAGGTGACCAAGGCTGGCTTTGCCAAACGAGGGGTCAGCATCCTTGCCGCTTGAACGCTGCATCTAGGACCTGGATGTGCCTGGCTTTACTGGCTGAGGTTTCCATCCTTTCCAGCATCTACCATGCTCAGCTGGACTGCCGCCAGCCGCATCATTCTCAATGCATCCAGATGAAGCTTCCTACCAGCCGCAGAAGCAGCTCAACAACTTCAGGCCCACCGTCCAGCACTTCTCGGACTCCGAGGACGAGGCTATTCGGCTTTCATGCCTTCGTGACGGCCAAGGTTTGCAGTGTAGCATGTTGGATGTTGTTGCACTAAGGCTGCAAGTGAAGACAAGGTGAGGGAAACGCGCTCCATCCCCAGAATTGACAAGGGGGGTTCCCGCTGGCTTGCAAGAAGACGGCATGCGATCGATCATACGATCTCGCGCCTGAAACACCAGGTGCAGCTCTCCACACAGATCCGCCCAAGCGCAGCTTCGTCTCCGAAGCTCTAATGGACAAGGCGTTTCGTGAGCAGCGTCACGTCGTTGGAGTTGCCTGGACCTCGTCGTATCCTGTCAAGGTCTATGTGGACACGTGGCCGACCAAGCATGTGGATGGCGCGATTGTGTCTCTCAGCCGCCTAAGCGCTCAAGAGGCACATGGATCGTGACCCCGCCGGTGGCAAGCTCTTTGACAGGCTCCACCGCTAGACTTAGACAATGCAAAATACCTGAACGTTAGAGAAGTGTGACGTGTCCGGTACCTTCACTTTCGCATCAGGCGTGTCGGTTTCGGACGCCCGCTGAGCAGTCGTCACGGCGTTATCACTTTCTACGATGAGGAAATGTGAGAAGAGTGGCAAGTGTCGTTCGTGCATTTCAAAGTGCAGCGGATCAAAGTTCAAAGTAAAATCTAAACGTACCTTTGTCAGCACTTGCAGCCCTGAGGACCTGCCACTCTACTATGTGCCCATCGACCGCCAGCGCTTGAAGGCAGCGCAAAGTCCAAAGTGGCACACGAGTGAAAAGGCGGTGTCGGCCGGTTTCCATGAAGTTTCGCTGCTCTGAGAAGGCTGCTCTTGAACACAGCAGCTGAGTCTTGAGGTAAGCTACACGTCGTCGGAGGGCCTCTGTCTGAGCCTCAGCTGTGAAACGCGAAGGGATGCTTGGGCAGATCTGGCGCAGGCCCCGCAGAATCCCACACCCCTTCCAAGGCTTGGGATACCTGGTCCACAAGAATGTGCTTGCAGAGCTGCTGGAGGTGAGAAGCGATAATCGGGTAGTTCCGTTTCATCCGTCCTACGCCAGAATCCACTGGACCAGGATGCCAACAAGTGTCACCATCCAGACGGTGTCAGCCTAAGGGCAGGGGCAGTGATGAGCAGATCTCCGAGCCATTCAGCCATTTCTTTAAACCACGGGGGCGCGTTCAGGTTGATCGTGCTTTTGGATGCTTTTTTGGTGTAGAGCCTTGAAGTTCGCGGCTCAGGTGCAGACGGCGGCCTTCAGCAGCAGCCCCAGCTCACTTTTGGAGCCAAAGCTTGTCACCTTGAACCTGGGTTCGACCGCAGAGCCAGGTTCTGGAGGGTTGTGGAGTCCGATGTGTGATGCGATGTAAAATTCCGTAGCCCCCGTGCTGAGCTTGCCCAGCACCTCCTCAAGACACGAAATCCATGACGATGACCGGGGCTTGTCGAGCTTGTCTGTCTGAGGCTCGTGAGAAGCTTGCGGATGAAGTTCCTACCATGGATTGCTGACGTCCTTCGGTCTGGAGCTTCGACAGAAACTCCTCACGCTAGTGACCGCTAGTGTGGGCCGGCGCGTCCAATTGTCTGCAGTTGCCGGAAGAGTGTCCACAGACGAACTTGCGGAGCCGAAGTAGCTCCACGATGCATGTGTGGGATCTGCATACTGACAGCACAGGTCGCCGCTTCCAAGCGACACAAAAACCTGGATTCTGCGCTGCTGCTGCTCGGATGATTTAAGCCAAGCTCGGCTTCAGGGCCAACCGCCAAACCGTTCGGAGCGCACCCACCTGGCATCCTCTCAGGTGAAAGAATGGGGCTTGTTGTCCCGGGCCGAGCTGCCAAGACCTTGCAGCGCAGACGCCTGAAGCCTGCCAATCCTCTGAGGCCGTGGCCCCGTACCAGGCATTGGTACATCGTAAGCTTCGGAGCTGACAGCATTTTGGCAAGCCAGGAGCGTGACCATGTCAACCTTGCGATCATGGCCTTTTGCTTGTGCCGATGCTGTGTGGACCTCGGCTTCCCTGTTCTTTGCTGCCTGTCGCGCACACACGGCTCCGCCAGAGTTGGGGGATGGCTGTTTTCAGGCCCTGCTGGCTCGGATGCAGCACTGTTCTTGCGGAATGTGCTCATGAACGTGCGCGGCTCAACAACAGTAATCTGGAGAAGGTGACTCTCGCGTTCCATTGACTTTGCAAAACTTTGCAACCAAACACGAGCAAAGAATGTAGATGTCCATCTTTCAGGCCTGGCATGTCCCGGACGAAGTGAAGAGTTTCGTCGAGCGCAAGAGCGATGTCCAGAGCCTACAGTATGAAATGAGTAGAAGCACATAGAAGCACTAGATGACTTGAGGTCGGGGGCTCCTGTCCCCACAGCTCCCCAAGTTGAGGTCTACGGCATCTATGTCGTCAAGACGGGGACACTGCACAGGCCAGCACGACCACCGGTTTGGCCACTTTTTACAGCAGGGCAACTCCAAGCCTTCTGAAACCAGCGATTTTCCCGGCTCGGTTCCGCAAAACATGTTGGGTCTCCTGCATTTTTTTTCGGTTCACAGGATGCGCGAGCTGGGTCTGCGAGTGGCCGTGCGAGACTTCGAGCGCGAAGTTTGGCAGCGCAGCCTCGACAACAGTGAAGGGCCCAGCTTTGCGCAGCTTTTTCCCCGGATTGGGCCATGTGGGGATTTCCGAAAATAGGGGTACCCTGTTTGGGGTTCCTTTAGAAGGACCATATCGCATTTTGGGGTGTATAAGGGGCACCCCTATTTTCGAGAGTCCCCAAGTTGAGCCAAGATCTTTCCTTGAGAGTCGGTGCTCCAAGGTGCCATGTATTTGGACATCATCGCACAGTTTTCAGACTACTGCTGCTTCACCTATGCGGTGAGCTCAAACTGCGACTTCCCTCACCCCAAGATTTCGTGGGCCGTGCTTTTTCTTGCAACTTTCAGTGAGCTCGCAGCTGAGATCCCAGGTCAAGGGCCTCTCAAAGGTGGACGACATTCTGTTAAAGTGGTTGGCCGAGTACACTCGCCCGCACCTCAGCATGGGTCCTTTTGGAGCCTCAGGGCCTCCCAGTTCGACTTGCACAGACCTTCCCCTGAAAATGGGAGGCCAAAGGAGTTTGAATTTGAACATCCCTTAATTGAGGCCTGCACCCTTGGCGCTTCGTCTACTTGGAAGGCCAAGCCATTAGGGCCTTTTCTATATGGTGGTTTCCGACATTCGGGGTATCTTCTCGGGGTCCTTATTTTCAGGGAATCCTACTATGGGGGTCTGTTTTGGGGTCCCCTATTTGCGCAAAGCCCATCAAAGCCCCATATAGACTCACCAAGCTTGAACGGTCTTGCTTCTGAACGGCTTGGTCTAGCTTAAAGAGAGACCCAGAGTGTACCCGATCAGGCAAGCTGACTTGGATCCGGAAGTCAGATGCCACATATTGCTTTAATTGCACACTGTGTGCCTGGTGTGCTGAGATGGTTTGGGGCAGGCATTGAACAAACCCAGTGTGTTGACTCGTCTCCAGAGCAGCGGCACGTTAGATTGAATTGCAGGTGTTGATACCTCCTTCAACTTCCCGGAGAACCGCCAGGAGCCAAGATACGGTGATGGAAGTGCTCTGTAGGATGCAGAGTTGCAGAAATGATACTGTACCGGTGCGAGACGATGTCCAGGTGACCGCTGCAGCTTCCGATTCGCTCCGCCAAATCCTCTTCATTCAGTTCCGCCCTCAAGGGCCCAAAATGTCTGGCTTGGGGCGGAGGTAGTGCAGCATTGCCAAGGTGAGAACAATGGAAGACCTGAAGCAGAGCGAAGTTGCACAACTACGTCCTAGCCAGAAGCTCGGGACAGCTCTCTCAGAGTTCTCAAAATTCCCCCCCCCCCCCCCCCCCCCCCAAGACGGAACACCAGGGGACTAAGCTGATTGCAATCGACAGGTCACACTGCACCTTATCCCGGTCAGCTGCAGCCATCGCCTGAAGACCTTCAGGCACACGCTCCTAAGTACAATGGATATGCCAAACGAGTCACGGACGTGCTACAGAAGCTATTATTCGCAAGAATGGCAAGATTCGTTGCAAGATTCTGGAAGCGCTGTTGCTGTCAGGAGCCTCGGCGATTGCTGTCCTTCTTTGCAAAGAATTTGGGCCCAGATAGCTCCAGCCTTGAGAGAGTGCTTGTGCAAACGGATGCTTTTAGCGCTTTAGGGTTTTCCAGGCCGGGTTTAGGGGTTTCAGCGCACCGGACGAGGTCTCGAGCTTCAGAGCAGCTTTGTTGTTTTGCAAAAGGCAGAATGGAGCTTGATCCGCTCCGAAGCATGTCAAAAAGCTCTCTTAATCTGCCTCGCTGGGTGGTGCAGGCACAGTAGGGTAGCTACTGTAAAGGAGGCTTCCAGGACATTCCAGGACCTTTTCAACATGTTCCAGCAGTTTTTGGATGCGAAAACGCCGCAGGGGCAGGTTCAAGAAAGGGTGGTCGGTCTTCACTACACAACGCTCCGCACAAGGTCGGAAGATTCTCCTTTTCCTTGATCTCTTCTTGAGGCAGCACGGGAAGCATGGCGGGAGATGAACATCATCAAAGGACCATGTTTTCGCCATCGTGCAGCGCTTAGCCAAGCAGGGGAGCTCAAGAGCAAGAAATGCATGCGCGCAGTAGGATTCGTGAGATTCTGCGATGACTTGAGAGAGTAGCCACAGGCCCCCGACCTCTTCCTACTCGGCAGACTTTCGTGCGGAACTGGAGGCTCCTCAGGGTTCTTTTCCCAAGCTCCGCACACTTGGTACACTACCTGCGGCACGATGTGAATGCAAGGATCTTCTTTTCAGTGCTGCGCCATGCCTGGTATTGCTTGCCTGGAACCGAGTGGAGCAGGGCAGCTTTGTCAACAAAGGACAGATACAAGTCAGAGACAGAACTTCAACGCTCCTTAGGTGTTTGTTGGTTTTCCATGTTGACTGAGCGTGACACTTTCAACCTTATGCGCAAGTGCAAACAAAGTGGGACAGCACCATGACAACCATCGAAGCTTTATGGTGGCGAACATGCCAAAGACTGGCCTAGTGTGTCATGCAAGTCATATCGATTCTGCCCCGCTGCTTGCTATGGGGGCATCCACATGACCCGTTTCTGTTCCAATGCAGCAAGCAATTGAAAGAACAAATCACGAATTGCAACCTAAACTGCAAAGAAATTATGTTGGACATGTCATGCTGGCAGAGGTCATGTAAGACTGTACAGGAACTAGGCGGCAAGACGGCACCTTATGACACTGCCAGCTATGAGTGAGGCTTCGATCAGCATGAATAGGCCTTGGCTCGTTGAGTCAGACAACCTTTTGCAGACGTATGGATGTTGAGGCTTGTTGCAAGTGGCAGTGATGTAGTTACCCATTTGTGGTTACAATTGCTCTGATTGCTAGCAAGCGCGCATTTTGATCTGCAGCTGTGGGCACATGCTACTAAGGCCAGTGAAGTTAGTGCTGGCGTTAACCGTTGTCCTTCTTCGCTTGGCATGCTTTCACGAGGTTTCAGCACCTGGGGCTGGCAAGACACACCACATGGCGACCCTCCGCGGACGGCTTGAGGACAACATGGCATGCGACATCGTTCATAGAATTTCACACAGCAAGCCTCGAACAGCAAGCGGAAAGTAGACTCATAATCAGGAGGAGATGCAGTTTGACATCCATGAGCTCTGCTCCGAGATTGTTGCACCATTGCTGACTGATGGCCCCATGCCAAACGCGTGAAGACCCGTGAGACCCAGGTTCGACGGCTCTTCAGATATCCTTGTCACCACCGCCTTGGCTGAGGCCTCCCAGCCACTAGACGTGCTAGACGCAGCCTGAAGTGCGGCAAGTACATCATGTTTAACCGGCGCTGGTGGTGATCATGCTGATGGGAGTGGACCTTTATGAAGCGAGGCACGCTCGTCATGACCAATCTGAGTAATCCTTGTATTGGGGAGATGTCTCGGTTTTCTGATAATTCAAGTTCGAACAATAAGATAGCGGTCAGGCACTGCTGCAACATTCAGTTGGCGCAGCCTTTGCTAGATGACCCTCACCAAGGGACCCATATCGACAAACTCTTGGTAACAGAGCTGGACACACACACACACACACACACAAAACACAGGCAGAGTAGGTAAGTGGGGTGTGAATTCGCCCCTGCTTGTGCCAGAGCCTGCTGCAGGTACTGCAGAGGACGATGACATCACAAAGTAGTGTGCATCATGCTTGCATTCCGAAAGATGGAGGGAGAGCAGTGAGGGAGACCGCTGTTCTGTTCGACTTGATGTGGCAGTGATGTTTTAAGGCAATCCCAGAAGCTGCCAGGGCCTCAGTGAGAACGCCGCAGTCCAACAGCGTTGCCTCACAGCACCTGTTCAAAGCTTCGTAGCGCATCGACCCTAGCAGAAGAAGCCAGACTACTCTGCGCGGGGAGTGTCCGAGGCTGATCCTGGACGAGTATCACATGCTGAGCGACGAGCAGCACAGCTGCATTTGCTTGTCATCACGAACACTACCTCCTTGGAGCTCTCCGCCACTGTTGGTTTAAGTTTAAGAATTCTCTTGGTGGCCTCGAGGCCTCATCTGGTTAGTACTTCAATAGTTTAAGTTAAAGGTACGCGCAAGGGTGGGGGGGCTCTCCAAAAAGATCCACTTCACCATTGCTTTTCTGAGCGCTGATTGACAAAGCCCCGCCCCCGTCTTCAGGTCCCCCTCCCTCCCGATACGGTCCCCCACCTGCCCCCCACACATAACTCCGTTTTCAGGCTACGTATGGGATTTGGAATTAGCAAGGAGAGTCGTGTAGGACCTTTGCGCACGACGAAACAGCATTGTCTAGCCTTCGTGGCCCCGATCTCAAGTTTGTCTGACTACTGGAAAGTTGTAGCAAATGAGAAGCTGCAAACGCGTTTAAGGCACAAGGACGAGCTCTTCGAGTGGGTGCGCTCGAAATTGGGGTCCCTGCCTCGCCGCTCAAAATTAAAAGCATTGTACCTGTGAATACTTGCGAGACATGCAAATGTTCGCAGTATGTCAGTATGTCGACAAAAGACCTCAAGTGCAGGCCGGAGCTCCGCGTAGTGCTGATCGCAAACCGCAGCGACTCCAAGGTGCCCTACTTGTAGAACTTGTGATTTGTCCTTCTCCGCTGCCTCGGGTTCGCCATCTACAGCATCGCATCACATCCTTCCAGCTCTCCGCGAACTCACTGCCAGGATCAAGAACGTCTGCAGCAGCTCCAGCCGGCTAGCGCCGCCTCCCAGGCGAGACCACGAAAGCGCATGAAATCGCGGATGCCAGGGGCAAATGTTGGGGAAGATGCCGAGCACACATGTGTTGTTGTTTCTTCTCCCTTCGGCAGGTTCGTGTAGCGCTGTTGCAAACTCGCCTATCTCGCCAGCGCATCGAGCAGGCAATCCCGGCAATCTTTATTCTTCTGCTCCAACTTGTACCACTTCAATCCTCGTCATGGTTACATGCATGACTTGTGGCGCCCAATGAGAAGGTCATGGAATCCCGTGGTAACTCTGACCAGTGGCGGCCATCCATTTGCAATTGGCTTGTGGCATCGCGGCTACTCTTCGGCGAGGCGCTTCGCTGATGTGATATAGGTGATGTGGACTGGTCCGCTGAGCTTGCCCTTTTTTTCCAGGAGTCGGTTAGCCTTCGCCTATGTGATGGCCTGGAAGCCACGCTACTGAGTGTTGCAAGAGTTTGCCTGGCCCGCCATGTGACATGAGACTTGGCTTCTGAGGCCATTCTACGCAATCCAGATCCACGGAGCACGCTGGTTGAGCCAGGTGCTGAAGGTTTGGTGTGGTTTGATGTTCCCGGCCTGGTGATTATCGTGTTGTGCATAGACTCACAGACGGGCTTTCGCAGCTTCATGAATGGCCGAAAGATTTTGGCCCAGGCTGCTGCTGCACCGTGTGCCGACTGTGTCTCGAACCAGTGCATACGAGTTCGTGGACGCCTACTTGCAGCATGAAGGGTACCTGACCGAGCAAAAGCCAGCAATGCCTACTAAGCGTAGCCCAAGAGTGCCAATCATGTACCCAGGCCCCGAAATTGCTTTTTGTGAGCGGAAGTGAATCCAGTGTCTACTTCGGCAGCTGCAGGTTGCGCCGAAGAGCATCTGGGACGAGCTTGGTGGGCTTCTGCTTTCGGGTCGCGATGCCCGAGCCCTAGCATTTCGGGGGTAATTAACCTGAAACCTGTGCCGTAGTTTCAGGCGCGTATGGAGCATTGTTCCAAACGCTTGAATTTGCCGGGTTGCGATAGGTCCGCGAAAGCGTTGGGAAGGTTGCACGCACACGAGATGCAAAACACACCTTGCCCCAAGATGATAGAAGCTGTGTGGAAAAGCGCCATGTCATGAGGAACGGAAACGCAAGAACGGCAGGACAGCTGCCGAAAGACCAGAACGGCGCAATACTGTAGCACAGGAGAGGTACTGCGCAAATACGTCCAGGTCCGAGTGACCATTCTGAGGCTCGACGTGATGGCCGACGAAGCTTGCAGTTTCGTGGAGTTCCTGGCGCAGACTCCGAAAGCACACGAAGCCTCACCAGCAGCACGGGGCTTGGGCCGCAACGCCTCAACTTCCGACCTCTTTCCGAAAGCACCAGCTTTTTCGATCGATGCTGCCTGCCGCATCTGCAGGTCCGACTACTTGCGTGGGCCGCGTATGTCATGAACTCCAAGAACAAGTGGGATGTTAACGGCTTGACCAGCTCCTGGGCAAAGCGCCACCTCTTCGTGGACCAGGCAAAGAGCTGAAAACAAAGCTTGTTTTGCTCTGTGTGCACGTGTGCACGTGTGTGCGCGTGTGTGCGTTGGGACCTTGCTGTACATGCAACCTGGGCAGCGCTCGCCTCAGCAACCATACTAACAGGGGCCACACAGCAACCACACCCTACCATCTACAACCAAGCGATGGTACTTTTTGTGATCGTCTCAAGCCTTTCAAGGTGTATTTCACAGTCGGTGTGCTTGACTGTCTTTCGAATGTAAAGACGCACCCAAGAACAAAAATATAGATTCGATATGGAGTTGCCGAACACTTGATTTCCCACAATAAAGGCGAATATTCTACTCATCAAGGTTGTCCACAACACGGATCAGAAGCACACACACACACACAAACACCCACGCACCAGCCCACCCACCCACGCACACACGTACCAACAGGAACATGACAAATAACAGTTGGATGGAGCTAGGCCCTAGCTTGAGCACGCGTGTCCGCCTGGCGTTTCACTATCAGACAAGTTCCAGAAATGCGAGGTGAACTTCCCATTCGAACTTGGCGAGGATGCGCTTGGATGGCCGACGAACACCGGCCGGGTGCTAAGCATTAAGCAAGTGTCTTAAGGGCTTGTCAAGATTTGTGAAGTGTCATGAGATGATGGCGGCGAGGCCCAACGTTCTCTTGGGCTGGCGATCCGAGCTCCTTGCGCGACCTGGTAGATGCAGCCGCTTTCTCATTTGTGAGAGAGCAGTACTGGGTACAAGCAGAAAGCCAAATGCAATCAGCAGCAATGACAAAGCGATGTGACAAAGGTCAGACGTGGCCACTCCGTGGATTGGGCAGATGTGCACCGCAAGGCCGTGTAAGTGCATTTTACAAAGGTCACAACCACATCCTCGCAAGAACGACGCATGTCGCTTCGGTGTCAATGTGGAGAAAGGGTTGGTTGGGGCTGGTGTGACTGATCCTCTTCGTCCCCTAGACGATGGCATTTTCCGAACAAAAGGGATGCGGAGGCTGTCAGGTTTTGAGCGACTTTATCGGCCATCCATCTAGCATCAGGGGCTGAATCACAGGTTTCATGGGAGCCCAAAAAGTTTCCCGTTCCAGTATTTTCCCAGATTGGCACAGAATTAGCAGGAGCTCCTTGCTTTGCGGAGACTTCGCACTTGAGATTCAGACAAACTGAGAAGTCGCATGGGGTCCCAGTTATTCGGCCAGGTTTGGTCAGTGGATCACATCAAGGATTCGGAGCTGTTTGCGCAGCTGCTGTCGTTGAGCCCAATCCTCGGTTTCGACTCAAGTGTCCGGCTGAAAGGGGATGTTTCTGGGAGGTGGAAATGCCCTGAGATGTTGCAAGTCCTGCCAACATTGTTGAAAGAGCGCATGCATTCTCTGACACGCCATATTCAGCATTCCCCCGATCCAGTTTTCAGTTTTCCGAGGCCGGAACCCCGGCATGATCCTACAGCAGGTAATGCCATCAAACCTCTGCAACCTCCTTCGTCGGAGCCTTGGCAAATATCATGACATGTTGTCTTGCTCACGGCAAGTGAACTCTGGAGGCTTGTCCAACACGGCAGCACCAACAGCAGTCCAGCTCGCGCGAATCATTTTGCAGCACGCGCTTCGCCCTCGGCTGTGGGCCCTAGGAACTCCTTTGCATCTTGAAGCTTTCTTGGGGCAGGCCAGCAGACAACGTCGTCAGCAGCCAGGCCTCCCCCTTCTGCCCATGTGCGAAGCATCTCGAAGTCAAGCTCATGGGCGGGGTCTTGAGCCTTGAGACCGCAGAGGATCAAACGCCGGTTCGTGCAAGCCTAGACAGTCAGCAGCTGCCCGGGAATCCAGAACACTTGTAGAATGTCGTATCTGTGTTTGTTGCTGTGATTTGCTGTGTGTGCCAGCCTAGCCCTGCTTGAAAATCAAGCGCCTGTGACACAACTGCGAATGTCGTCCGCGTCGCCGTGCCCATCAGTACCCCAACAGGAATGTTGCAGGAGCTTGCAGCTGCAATCGAATCTGACCTGCCATTGCGACAGCACGTGGAGTCTGAAGGTTTCTGCATCCTGCATGTAGCGGCGTACTGGGACTCAGCTGCCCTTGTGCGAGATGCCTTGGAGGCACAAGCAGTGGATGTGCGGGACGCGTTGCGACGCACGCCTCTCATGATCTCCATGCAGCACCGGCACATCGTGGGAGCCCGGCTTCTCTTGGCGGCCAGGGCAGATGTCTCAGCTCAAGATGCGGCGGGCCACACATCCCTCAGCATTGCTGCGCGAAGTGGCCATGCCAAAGGCGTGTTGTTGCTGATGAGACGCGGTGGTTCAAGCACGCTGGAGATGGCAGATCGGGATGGGATGCGACCGCTGCACTGGGCAGCTTCCTTGGGCGACTCCCTTGGTGTGAAGCTGCTGCTTCGATTGAAAAGCAGCTCTACTCCAAGGACTCACTCAGGGCTATCTGCAATAGATCTGGCATCGAATGCTGCTCACTGGCACGTCGTTGCATGTCTGGAGAGCCTGAAGCCAAATTCACAAAGCGGTCCGGCACACTGGGCTTCAGGTGACATGACACCAGCCACAGACCCGGTAGACCCGGTAGGCTGCTATCAAAAGAAGTACCACAAGAAGCGATCCCCTTTGGACATGCAGCGTCTGGCTCATGCAGCCCTGCACGAGATCATGCATCCCAGATACGTGACGCGAAAGGTGATTCCTGTGTTCTGTCACGTGGCTTGCATGATTGCCGTCTATGAACATTTTAGATTCTCACGGGCCGGCCGCTGGAAGCTTACCCCTCGTTCCGCAGTGATTTTTGAATTTCTCGTCCCGGTCATACTGTGCGGCGTCCAGTACATGGTGCGTGTGGATCCAGGTGTTGTGCAAGAAAATTCTGGAATTGAGCGGCTGATGAGCATGCTCGACAGTGACATCCCAACAGCAGAGCTGCCACAAATGGACAGGCTGTGTACCACGACCTGGGTCTTGAAAGGGCCACGGACAAAGTACTGTGCCATCACCGGCGCTTGCATTGAAGACTTCGATCACTATTGTATTCTGCTTGATGCGCCGATTGGCAGAGGAAATCATCGCTTCTTCATCCTTCTAATGGTGGCGGAGGTGATTGCCCAAATGGCACATGCCATCCTCTGCCTCACAACCCTCTTTTCAGATGAAGTGGGGCAAGGGCCTTTCTGGCAAGTGTTGCTACTGTGGCGTCATCCCGCTCTGGCCTTCCTGCTCACAGTCCACTGCGTGACGCTTCCTGGGATAACCTGCCTGATCATTGTCCAGCTGGTTTTGGTTTCTCAGAATCTTACAGTAAACGAGTTGGTGAACATGAGGAGGTACCAGCACTTCTGGACGGGAACCCAGAGCACATTCTTCAACCCTTTCAACAAGGGCAGCATACTCAAGAACTGCCTCGACTTTTGGTGGAACTTTCGCCTTCCTTCCAGCTATCTGGAGATGCACGTCTAAGGAAGATGGTGGGCCAAATGCGCGCCAAGTAAGCCACCAAAGGCTCTCGTCTCTGCCTGGAACTCGCTGGTGGTGTCTTCCGGATCCAGTGCTGTCCAATCATGGCCCCGAACTGCCATTCTGCCACACCCATGCATCCGAAGCCACGGCCGTGCCAGCTGAACTCTGGATTTCGAAGCACTGCGCACTGAGCGTTAGCGCTGTGAACAACATCGTGGAAGCCAACAGAAGATGTCGTTATTCATGCCCCTCAGCCCTGTCGACGTGAGGATCATCTGTGGCCGTCGCATCCCATGGCTGCAAAGCTCAAAAGCTCCGAAGCTGGCCAGAGATGAAAGATCGTGTGCCTCCGCTTCGGAAGCCTATAGCAGCATGTAAGTCATACTGTAAATCTGTTGAATGACCGCAAGGTAGACCGCCCTCGATGCATCTCGCTTTGGACATTGGCGCAGCCCTCAGATCGCGATGTTTAGTTCGACTCATTGTTGGAACTCGCCCGCAAGCTCTCATCTCATTTGTCATGTTGTGTCCAAGTCTGACCTGACGGCTGACACTTCAAAACTTAGCACGGGTTGAGCTCAAAAGCTGGGACATGTGAGGCTCGCGGCCTGGATTAAGCCCGTTGCATCGTTGCTTTGGTAGGGCACCGTCAAGGTAGCTGCAAAGGACTCTGCAAAAACGCGAAAGATGAGCAGAGGATGTTTGGCTCAGAATCCATGCTGAGGTTCTTCATGATCAGAAGCAGGACCTGAATTGTCCGCGGCTTCCATCGGCTGGATATGGTTCAGATGCGATTACATCCTAGTACTGAGCTGACGATGACAAGCTTAGGTGTGGACATGCTGCAGCTGGCTGGTGGTCCAGCAGTCACAACCTCGGCTGGGGCAGAGCAGCATTGGATTTTGCGTGCAGCTGCCCGCGCATGCAAGTTTGCAGACGATCAGGCGCTTCTCGATGCCCTGCTTTGGGCAAGGGACTGGGCGACCGAACGCCGCAGCACCGCCGAAATCTTGGATTCGGGCACATACATGAAGCCCTCTGACCTGCCCATACTGAAGCATCCGTCTGAGCACCTTCTACCCTTCAAAGACGTTAGGGAAGAAGGGCTCAGGACTCGTCTCAGCTCGAGTCGCCTGATGGCTTTGGAGCCAAGGCGCCAACACAGGCCCGAACTCGACTGCTTCAGCAGTTGCTGGCAATGCTTTCCTGCTGCAGCTTGCGACTCAGTGCACACCCTCTCTTGCCCTGTGCCTCTATGCCCTTTCAATGGGCTGACATGGCCTGACCTCGGCTTTGCCACCATCACGGCGCGCCGTTCCAAGGCTGGAATCTCCCTCAGACCCAGGATGCAGGGACTTCCCAGCTGCAGACTCACCTGATCAAATCAGTACTGGTAGTTATCACCAGAAGAAGGAGAGATACAACCGCATTTCTTCGTTAAGGCCAACTACGCTTCCTTTGCAGCAGCTGGTGCTGCTGTGGACTGGTGGCTTTGGCTGCTTGTGGGGTGCTGAGACACCAGACGCTCCATCAAGGCTGGAGGCTAGGCGCATCCCGGCGCTTCTCCCGAGATCCCAGGTTGTGTGCCGCCTCCGTTGCCCAAGAGATGGCCTGCGGCTTGCATTCCTCGTAACAAGTCGTAGAGTGAAGATGATCGCAGCAGGTGTGGAAGACTCGGCAATCCGAAGCCGGTGGGGCCATGCGAAGAACTCGGAGAGAGTTGCCAGGGGAGTGGAGCAGAGGATGAACCTACGATGACTTTGTCATGCCGAGGTCGGCGGAGTACCTTGCACGCGGTGAGGTGCCACCAGCGCTGCCTCAATCACGGCTTTGGCAGGCCGGTCCATCGCGAAGAGCTGCATGTTGCAAAGTTCATGTTGTGTAGCCAAAAGCATGGGTCCTGCCTCCCTCCTTGCCACTTGCCAACCGTGCGTACCGGCAGGACAACTAGAAAACTTGCAGCTTGTGAGGCTTTTTGTACGTAGGCTGAATGCAGTCTCTCCCAAGTTAAGCTCGAGTGTGGTGCGCTACGTTCACTCAGTATTGCCGAGTAGCTTGACCGAGCAAGCCCAGCACACCACCTGTTTCAGCCTTTCCGGATGGTTGATATAAGACATAAGACATCAGAAGCCCCCACGAACTTCGAAATCAGCCGGAACCCCAGAACTAAACCCAAGACCAAGCCAAACCTAGACACACTCTCAAGCCCTGAGCCTGAAACCCCCAAACCCCAAACTCCCAAAGGCTAAGCCTCGACCGCCGCAAGCCCCCTAAGCCCAGAAATCGTACGCAACCCCTCCCCCTCCCCCACCTCCCCTCCCCCCGCTCCCCTCACCAAATTAAACTCTGCAGCATGTAGCAGCATGCTGTCCGTTTACACAGCGCAAGCAGCAACCAGCGTGTTCATGTTGGCAGGTGTTGGAGCGGGTGGCAGACGTGCAGGCAGACTGGCCACTGGAGGCACGGCATGCTACAGCCTGCTGACAAGGTGCAGCGGAGCACGGGGGCAGAGTGCTGAGGTGCGGCTCCTATGGCGAGTTCTCCACTGCAGGAGCACCGCCCGAGAGGCAGCAAAAACATAGTCTCGGGCCTTTGGGTCGCATCGGAACAAGTTGTGCAACGTTGTGCTCCAGCAGGTCAGTCGACTTTGGGCGAGAGCGCCTCACATGATGCAGGCTCTCGGATTTTCGCCCGAACTTTGAACTCTGAAGCTTGAGACTGCTAAATGCTTTGAAAGAGTGTTTTTCTGCTGGCAAAGCCCACGCCTCGGATGTTGGCTTGAAAGTCCATGTTTAGCTGGCTGTGCTAGCCGTGCTGCTCGCGTTGCGACTGCCCATGCCAACCCGACAGGACCTCTCATCCCAGGCAGGGTTGCTTTTCACTGCATTCCCAGATGCCAAGCCCATAGCGGACAGGTTGACAGTGTGGCAAGCGCGAGGGCCTTGAGAAGAGATTGTCGCTCACAAATTGCACACAAGCAACAGAGGCCAGACCGGTCCATGCCTTGTGCATACCAGGCCAGGAGACTGCAGCTTGTCTTTCACAGGGCTAAGCACCAAACAGCCTAGCCAAGCAGTTCAGCGACCCACCTCCTTGGAGTTGCAGAGAGATTTTTTTGCAGAGATCACCGGATAGAGGCATCCTGGCAGCTCCTGGCACTTTATGCCGAGCTTTACAGCGGTCGCTCTTGTGCAACAACTGCGAGGCACAATTGCCAGAATGCCCCCCCAAAATGCCCCAAAAACGTTGGCAGAAAGGGTCTCTGCGAGTTTCCGCGCTAAACTCCACAGAGAGCTGGTGAACAGGTACCTTCGGGGATCTCAGCCACGACGTTCATCGCAGCTTGCGCAGATGCCCATGCCTCGTTCGGACAGGGATGTATGCAGTGAGCTGTCCTACAAGTGCAGGCGCTCAATGAGATGCGGAATGCCAACCAGCTCAACCTGGTCCGAGTGGATGGCGCAGGCAAGCATGCGTGCGAGCAACTCATCCTTGTGAATGGCTCTTTCACCTCAGGCAAGGCCGACATCTACCGCATGGTCAAGGAGGAAATGGCGAACTGATCAAACCTGGTGTTGAAAAGGGCTGGCAATCGAGGTCAAGACATGTCAACGAGGATACCTGGCAGAAGCAAGTCTGTCGCCTTGTACTCAATTTAAGCCAGCGTGGCTCTGGACAACAGTTGAAGAGCAGCCCCACGCAAAGTTCCTCGTGTCAATCAATTGGGGAGGCTCCGAGTGCGCACGTCTCAAAACTGTGCAGCCTCTCGGGCAGATGCTGCTTCTGTAGTTGCGCCCAATTATCATGTCGGCTCGTCCTCCTTTGCTTTCCCGGGTATGAGCCGGGTGTGTAAAAGAGGCAAATTCATCGCGTGCCTGGGTTCCGTCTGCAAAGTTTGGCCAGAATGCGCAGCCAACTTGAAGCCATTTCACCTCGAAGAGCCCTGGGGCGCTCAGAAAGGATACGGTTGCTGTTGCCTGTGAGCTGCACAAGCCCTGGTAGCGGCCCCAATGAGGCAGGAACTATAGGAATGACGAATTGGGAATCCTTCGGTTTGATATTTGATATTTCAGAAATGAACCCAACATACTTCGAAGAATCCAATCATTCATTGTATTTCCCAAATATATTTAGAATTCTCTTAGATGAAATTTTCTAGATTCATTTGACGAAGATCATGATCATTCATCTTCTATCAAATGGAATATATATTCAAAATCATTGGATCATACGAGTAATCATTGGATTCTCTTCTTTGATATTTCTTCATTTCCTGAAATGAATCCAATTCATTTTGCGAAATATCTGATTATTCATGTTATATCATTTCTGCCGAATCAAATATATATATATATATATAATATATAGAATTCTCTTAGATAGAATGGATTTGAAGATCTTCTTCTTAGGGATATCTTCTAGATTGATTATGATTATTCACCTTCTATTAAATGGAATGAATATTAAAATTCATGGAATTCTCTTCTTTGATATTCTTCATATCTAGAAATGAATCCAATTTATTTATCATTGTTTATATATATATATATTCCAAATCAAATATATTTGGAATTCTCTTAGATAGAACGTATTTTAAGGCCTTCATTTGACGAAGATTATGATCATTTATCTTCTATCAAATGGATTATATATTCAAAATCATTGGATTATATTTTTGATTTTTCTTTATTTCTAGAAATGAAGCAAATTTATTTTGTGAAGAACTTGATTATTCGTATCATTTCTGCCAATCCAAATATATTTCATGATTTCCTAATATCTTCAAAGAAGAATGATCTTGATATTTCTTATAATTATAGGAACTCTAGAAATTGAATCTAGATAATCTATTAAGGATCTAATCAATTTTCTAGTTTTGTTATCAAATCAGATGATTTTCGATTAGATCCTTTTGGGATCTCTTTGCAATTTCTATTGATTTATGAAGATTCTTTCATATATCTTTTATCAAATGGAATGAATATTCAATCCAGAAAGAAATCAATTCTATTTTATCTGCAAAGATCATATTTTCTCTTCAAGAAGAGAAGAATTTTCGTCAAATCAAATATATTTGAATTAATGAACGATAAATCATAATAAAAAATAAGAAGAGTAGATCTGATGAAATCTCCATATGAAAGATAAATCATTAAATGTTGCGCCGTGATTTCTGGCGAATTCGGGGTGATGGTGGGTGTTTTTTCTTCGTTTCATTGTTGGAAGGCGTTGTGTTGTGCGTCGTGTTTCCTGTGTGTTTTGAGTAATCTCATCATGGATCTTCGGTTCGTGTTTTGGAATTGTTTGAACTAGAATCTTATCTTTGATTGTCCGCAATGGTGAGAGAAACCAAAGTCTTCTTTCATTCTGTTTTGATGTAGGGTCTCGACGTTTGGGCGAATTGATATCTTTGAATATAGACATCTCTTATATCTTTCGATTGTGTTTGTCTCTTTTGGGCTTGTGGGCAATAATCTCTAGCCTTGGGTTTTTAATTGGTGCTTTTGGGTACAGATGCCACTGCATTGGATCTTGGCAAGGTCACTCGAAATAGGACTCTGCTTAGTACTTGGTTTCGACAACCTCGGCTTCAATCATTAACTATATAAAGAAAAGGAGCGGCATTCAATTTCAATAAATAATTGTTATGAAGATTTCTCTCAATATGATTATTCTATTATTTGAATAAAGAATGAAGATATATATATATATATATATGAAATTCAGAAGATAAAATCTGATCATCGATAATGAACCGCCAAATCGGTAAGAGGGTTTTAATTTAATAAAATTTAAATTTAAAAAAACTCTTTTTTGTTCGCTAAATTATTAAGAAGAAAAATTTGCTATCTTTTTCTTATGGTGTCTATCATAGATTCCAATCTTGTATCTTTCATCAAAATCATTAATTTCGCTTCTCTATATATATATATATCAAATCGATATGGTTTTCCTTTCAATTATTTGAAGATTCAAGGGGTCCTATCGAAAAAGAATAATACTATTCTATTCTATCTTCTCCCTTCTCTCTTCTCTCTTATTCTTCTATCTTTTCTGATGTCTCTTCCCTTAAATCCTAAACCATTAATCCTAAACCCTAAGACCCCTAAAACCTAAATCCCAAATCCTCAAGGCAAAATAAAAGAAATTGTATCATTCTGAATTTCTAAATTCCCCCAACCCCTCAGCCCCCCAATCTGCAGCCACCCAGCACCCCAACCTGCCAGCACCCCAGCCTGTCAGCGCCCCAACCTGCCAGTACCCCAGCCCTCCAGCCGCCCCCCAACCCCCCACATAGAAATGAAACGCGAACTCATCAAAAAACATCAAAATTGTCGTTCCTCACGTTTCGTGCCCAATTTACTTAAACCTCCTTGCTGCCAAGGCTGCAAATACAGGAACCGAGCAATTTTCGGGTTTATGGTTACAGAATACAATGTCCATAATAAATCGTACCCTCTACTACTTTCTCCTCATACATTCGATCTATTGGTATCTATATAAGATTTGTCAAGATATACGATTTGTTGAATGATTCGTTAGTCGAGTAAGGAAATTATCACACATATGTTGTTTCTTCGTATGTCAGCAAACAATCAACACGGTGACAAATCGTGCCCGTGGCTCGTGTATCATATCATAAATCGTATCCCCTGTCTCTATCCCCTGTCTCATGCGTGATATCACAAGATGCGGAACCCAATGCCCGTATCTAATCGTACTCCCTACTACTTTTTGTTTCTATTTTCGATTTGTTGGTGTCTCAATGAGGCATGGCAAGATGCACGATTTGTAGCCTGTGATTTACTGATATCTGTATGAGGCATGACAAGATACACGATTTGTTCCCTGTGATTTGTCTGTGATTTGCTGGCAGGGTCAGGAAATTATCACACACATACATATATTTCTTCGTATTCCAGCAAACAATCAACACGGCGACAAATCGTGCCCGTGACTCGTATATGATATCACAAATCGTATTTCCTGTCTCATGTATGATTCGTGATTTCACAAGGTGTAGAATCCCGTGCCCATAACAAATCGTACAGGGGAGGCCCCCAGACGCGAAGCCAACATTGCTTGGATTGTTCAACCCCAGATTTGGAATCGCGCAAATTGGCAAACATGTGTCCAATACAGGAACGACTTGGTCTCCTAGGACTTGCTGTGAAAATCAAGTCCCAAATTAAAGGACCGGATCACCCCACATGCAAATTTATCTATTGAGAAAGAGTAGAGAGGTGCGCGAGTGAGTGCGTGGGTGAGTGTGAGTGTGAATGTGTGTGTGTGTGTGTGTGTGTGTGTGTCTGTGTCTGTGTCTGTGTCTGTGTCCGTGTCTGTGTCTGTGTCTGTGTCTGTATCTCTCTCTGTGTGTGTCTCTCTCTGTGTGTGTGTGTGTGTGTGTCCGCGTCTTTGTGTGTGTGTGTGTGTGTGTCTGTGTGTGTTTGTCTGTGTGTGTGTGTTGTCTGTGTGTGTGTGTGTCTCTGTGTGTGTGTGCGTGTGTGTGTGTGTGTGTGTGTGTGTGTGTGTGTGTGTGTCTGTCTGTGTGTTGTCTATCTTGTGTATTTGTGTGTCTCTGTGTGTGTGTGTTGTATTATGTGTTGTGTGTGTGTGGTGTCCCCTCCTCTCTGTTCTGTGTGTGGTGTGTGTGTGCCTGTGTCTGTGTGTGTGGGCGTGTGTGTGTGTGTGTGTGTGTGTGTGTGTGTGTGTGTGTGTGTTTGTGTGTGTGTGTGTGTTGTGTTGTGTGTGTGTGTGTGTGTGTGTGTGTGTGTGTTGTGGTCGTGCGCGTGTGGTGTGCGTGTGCGTGTGCGTGTTCGTGTGCGGTGGTGCGTGTGCGTGTGCGTGTGCGTGTGCGGTGGTGTGTGTGTGTGTGTGTGTGTGTCCGTGTCTTTGTGTGTGTGTGTCTGTGTGTGTTTGTCTGTGTGTGTGTGTGTGTGTCTGTGTGTGTTTGTCTTTGTCTGTGTGTGTGTGTGTTGTCTGTGTGTGTGTGTGTGTCTGTGTGTGTGTTGTCTGTGTGTGCGTGTCTGTGTGTGTGTGTGTGCGTGTCTGTCTGTGTGTGTGTGTGTGCGTGTCTGTCTGTGTGTGTGTGTGTGTGCGTGTCTGTCTGTGTGTGTGTGTGTCTCTGTGTGTGTGTGTGTGTGTGTGTCTGTGTGTGTGTG